AACATCATCTCTAACCCTTCTTCTTCTTCAAAACTTGAACACATAGGAAATGAAGAAAAAAGAGAAATGGTTTAGGTGGGCCATTTTCATTCGGGTGGTGACGTAACCTGTTGAAGCTTCTTCTTCTGATTCTTCTTTTCAACATCTTCCAATTTGATTTGATTTTCTCTTCGCTATCCTCCAATTTTCGCCCTCCTTCTCATTCTTCTGATTATGTTGTTCGCTTTTTCGTCACTTTACGTTAATTTTCTTGATTTTTCGGTTTTGCACTTGAGTCATTGACTAGACCTAACTTATTCTGAAGCTGACATTTCAAAAAACTGGGATTTCGATTACCGTATCCCCTCTATAGAAGACCACCCCAAACCATCGATTATCTCGGCTCCTGTGAAAGATATCAAAAAGCGATTAACAGATAAATTGTTCATCCTATTATCACCAATATTTTATCAGTTGACAAATGTTTGGTATCTTTCACTGGAATCGAGAAATTTGAGCTCAAATCAAACGGATCTATTAGAGAAAATACGCTATTGTATGCCTAGGTGTGAAAATTCTCAAGGATCCACGAATACATTTTCTTCCAGCCATACATTTTCAGAGATCTGGAAATTCACTTTCCGTTTAGGTTTTTTTCGTGCCTACAATTTGAAGTCATTCCAAAATCCTTGAAATCCTAGGAAACACAACCCAAATTTCATTTTCTCTAGAAAACAGGAGCCAAACTTTGTACAAGAACTTGTTATGAATCAAATTTCCAACTGACCAACTTAAAAAAAACATTTTCTGACCACCCAGTTTTCCGAAACCATCCAAATCATGTTTCGATACTGGTACTCTGATTTCTTCCTATCACTATTTTCTCAAAAATTCTTCTAACTATACTTGTTTCCTTGTTTCCGTTCATTCATTTTTCTTCCATCGCCCCTTTCATTTTCCATCAAATCAGCTGATTGGTTTAGATCGCCCCCCCCCCTCTCCGAAAAAATTAGTCGTTATCCAACTGGATAATGTTCCAAAAACCTCCTCTCTCCCTTTTCAGTGAGTAGCCAAAGCTAGACCCTTAAAAAAGAAACGCCAAATTACCCGTTCCTCGTCCTCCCCCTCCTCATCCTTCGTTTTCCATCCAAAACTATCCCGAATGATTGGGCGCGAAATCTATAAAAAACTTGTTGGCTTTACTCTATTACCACTAGAGTGAGATACATCAATTTTCGAACGGGAGGAGGGCGGACGGTTCGAGAGGAGATAGAAGGATTTTCATAACAAATTACCATGTTTTTTTGTTTTTTCACATATTCATATAGTTTCGTTTTCGCTAACTAGCCAACCAATATGCAAAACCGTAAAATAGTTTTTACCGTCCAGAGGGGAGACAGGCGGGACACAAGCTGTTTTAATCTCGTTGACAAAATAAACGCACCGAAGCGGATAAACAAGCCGCTATTGGCAATGACAAGGGGCGTAGGACAGGGACATAAAGAATATTTTGGCATATTTCCAAAAAAAATTTGTGTACAGTCTTCTTCTTCTTTTCTCTTTCATTTTTATATTTTGTAAATTTTTGAAAGGGAGTGGATCAGTCAAGTTGTATACGACGTCACTGATCGCCGAATCATTTATATCACTCTCCTCACTTTTTTTCGCGATTTTTTATCAAAAAAACCCCCCAAACAAGTGATTAAACTGATAGACTGAGTTTTTTCGTTTTTTTGTTGATTGATAATTGATGAACTGAATTCGTTTATTTCGCCCGGGTTTTTATTGTTATTCAATTGATGTCAAAAAATTGTTTTTTAACTTTGACTTGATTTCAAAAATCTTATAGTTAGACTCCAAGATTCAAAGAATTTGAAATTCAAAAAAGTTAAGATTCTAGGATTTTCGGAAGAGAGCTCTAATGCTTCTAAAAATCTTGGATCCAGACACTATGAAGTTCTGAAAATTCTGAAATTCCAAAACTCGTAAAATCTTAAAGGAGGCGAGACAGCAAAAATTTCGGGGGCAGTTCGGGGGCCGAAATCGCGCCGCGCTTATGTAAACCATCGGTCGTCAGGCGCCTTCGCGCCCCCGTAGCTCAGCCGGTAGCGGCGCTGTACCCCTGAGCTGCCTGTCATGAGTTCAACCCCTCATGGGGGTTCTCTATGCAAAATATCAGGAAAACTTTTTTTTGGTGTCTGGCCTCCTTTAACTCATAAGATCCTACGCTTCTAAAACTTTTGAGGATGAATTTTGAAAAAAAAAGACCACGCCCATTTTGTTTGTTTTCTTCCAAATCTCATATTGTACTCTACCACGATCCGTAGTGTCTAGAACTTTCTAATCCACTCCATTTTCCACAAAAAAATCAAAAAATCTTCAAATTTTTCTTAATTTCCAGATTGTAGTAACCCATTTTATTTGTTCATATAACTAAACAACGTTCTCTAATTTAATTTCGAGCAAAAACTGATAATTGTCGATTTTGGATTTTTTCCCCATAGGATTTTTAGTCTGTCTCATTTTCTTTAAATTTTTTCCACTATCAGAAACAAAACATATTTTTTGAGAATAGCTTGAATAAGCTAAGAAGCTTATTGAAAGGGCTCCTAAATTCCTTGTTTAGATCAAAATTCTGGATCAGATTTGGATAGGAAAAAATCCGATTGACTCGGTTACGTATCTTGTTTTTATAGTTATCCTTGGAAATTTTGACCTAGATCCTTCGCTATATACGGCACAAAACTTGTCATTTTTCATAAATTTCATGGCACTTCTAAATCTTGCCGCGGGGCACAGAAATGCTTTCAAAAAATTAGAAGACTACTGTAGAGAAGACTTTTCGAAAAAAAAAGGGGGCGGAGCTTCTTTTTGAAGGAAGAAATTGGATTTCCGCCCCGAAGTCAATTTCTGATGAAATTTGAATTGGAGAAAATATTATTTCCATTTTCCACACTACCCCCAGGGCTAAGTCACTCAAGAAATTTTATATTGCACACTCACATAGATTTAGAAATATTGGGAGAAGTCAAAAACGAATTTCGCGTTTTGGCTCTAACTGCCAGCAGTCACTTGATTTGAATCACTTTTTCGAATTAGGCGCCCCGGAATATATATTTGTTAAGCGAATTTTCGTTTTCACCCCGCATGACAACATTCTCTCTTTTTCCAAAAACAAGACAGATTTTCACACCTTTTTGCTCTCCTCCTTTTTTTCCGGATGTGATAAAATGCACTGATCATTGCCGAAGACTTCCTTGATGCTTTCAATTTGTAGGATAAGGATTTAGATTTTTTTTGGATGTTTTTTAACTTTTCAAAAACTTAGGTCTGAACAGTCTTGAACTAAATTACCGGTGTTCGTCAGATTTAGTGACCTAGAAAACTAAGTTTCGAAATCCTAGGCCATCTGGAGAACCGTAAAACCTTTAATTGAAGGACCCCTTCAATAGAAGGGCCCTCCGGACATACTTTGGAACAATAGAAAGGCTTGTCTTTTAATACATGTTTTACGGTATTAAGGGAAAAATTACCTATAATTTATTCTCTTGAAGTTGCCTAGAAACCCAATTTTTGGAAAATTAGGCTATCAGTCTTCTCAAGTGTTTTCTTAAAATAACTAAAAATATGAAAATTCCAAAAAATTATATTTCCTGGATTATTCCAAAAATTTTCCAATTGTTTTTCAACTTTTTCAACTTTAAATTTCCATGGGAAACAGGTGAATTTTGAGAATTCACAAACTTCTGAAATTTAAATCTACTTTCCCTTTTTGAAACTTCCCGGTCCAACTTGACTCATACACTTTTATTTCCCAATTTAAAATATTTTCCATCAATTTCCATTTTATGAATTGTGCAAAAATGTGCGTTTTTTCTAGACAGCACAGTGAGAAAAAAAAAGACTTGAAATTGTTATACACCTGCCAATTTCACTCCTCTCCGCCCCCTTTTTCGATTTCTGTGTGTATGAGGGGGACTGAAATTGAAATTGAAATTGAAAAAATGTGGAAATTTTGCTTTTGTCCCCAGAGGGAGAGAGGAAAAATAATAAAATTGGACAAAGGCGACAGAGAGGAACTTTTTTCCCGGATTTTTGAAATTTTTGAAATTGGAAATGGGAAATAGTTTAGAGATTTCTGGTATCATTCTGATGCTTGATTTTGTAGGAGATGGTTTTGAGATTCTGAAAATCTTAAAATCTAATTTAGAAATTTTAAACTCTTGCAACTTCAAAATTCTTTCAATTTTCAAAATCTCAGAATTGCAAAAGTTCAGAAATTCAAATTCCCACAATAAGTATGACATTTTCATCAAACTTGGGCATTCAAATTCGAGTTCTAGCTCCCCCTAAAATTCAATTTATCAACTTCTGACTTCTCCTTTAATTTCTGAAAAATTCAAAGCGGAAATATAGAGGAAGGCATTGGTTGGCAAGTGGCCAAACACGATTAGTCCCCGGGTCCAGAGCCCCCGAGAAGTTGGAAAATTGAAATTAATATATATTATATTTTCTGGTGTGCACCACAGCCCCAAACGACTCGTGTTATCCACTTAGCTCTTTTCAGATTTCGAAAATCAGAGCCAACAAGTTTTCTCCTTATTTCCCTTCACTCCTTTTTTTATATTTCATTTGTGTATATAAATATTCTGAAAATCTATCTGAAATTTTTCGCTCTCTCCTTTTTCAAAACAACCACCAATTGATTTCTGAGTCTCTAGTTTTCTTTTTTTCTAAATGTGTTTTGTGTGTGTTTTCCCGAATTAGTATTATCAGTTTTTTTTTTCGAAAAAAATTGAATGGCGAAAAAACTACAATTTGACGAGAAGACTAGGTAGCATATCTTTTGGGAATTCCAAAATTCTCTAAAATTTTTATTTTCTGGGTTTGGTTTGTTTTCGGTCGATACTCTTATAATATCACAAGTAAAGACATTTTTTGGAAATTCAAATTTTCAGAATCTACTTCATCTGGAATTTTGAGAGCAAAGGAGCACAGAGTCTTCCAAAGAGTGACCAATGATGGCCAACGCGGTCGATATGCAACAGATTCTGATGTCGATGGATCCGGTATGTCTCTTGGGTTACTGTAGATTACATGGGGGTTACTGTAGATTACATACTGTAGTTTATGGGGTGCTGTAGATCCAGGATCCCTTGGCTGACTTTCGATTTACTCTTTCGTTTCGGCTATTTTTTATATAAAAATGCTCTGTGTGCAAAAATACAAGAAATAAATCTGATCTCTTCCAAACAATAAATTTTAAATATTTTTTAAACTCTTCAATCCTTCCGAAATCCATTGATCCTTACCCTCGCCAAGCAGACAAAAATCTCTTTTTAAATAAGATAAGTGGTTATTAAAAGCAGCGATCTTAGAGAAACTACATGGAGCATAATCATGTTTTATTAGTATCAGATTAGGGTATTCTGACTGTTTATCCCTGATTTTTTGATGTTGAAATTCCAGTTCCAAAGCTGCTCAAGTAATTAATTGCAAACCAAATTTTCATTGTTCTGTCGAAAATAAATTGTTTGCACCTGTCAATCATTGGACAATATAATTGCTCAGGATTTCTAAAAATTCAATCCACGACTTCTTTACATCTCTTATTTTTCTTTTCCGTTTCCCCTTATGTCACTATACCGCTAATCTGGGTCCACTTCACCACTCTCCTCATTCAAAGACAAATGTTGGCTATGAGCCAATAAAAGAGAACTCAATCTCCCCCTCTTTTTTTGGGACCCCTCAAATTCCACTAATTCCATATCCGACTTATGTACAAAAGAAGAAGGAGAAGAAAATGAAATAAAGGGGTGAGAAGAAGAAGAGAATAGATGAACATCTGTAGATAGAGATATGTAATTAGGAGTCTTGGGAGAATGAGATGAAAGTTGGAAATTATTTTTTGAAGAGAATCAGGAAATTAGAAGGGCTAATTGAATTAGAGCTGATCTAGGAAATGAAATAAGAGAGCTTTTAAATTTCCAATTCTGGAATTTTCCAAGGTTCTTGTGGATCCTAGATTTGAAGAATCCTAGAGTCAAACGCTTTTAAACTTTATGAATCTTCCGCACTATCTGAACTTTCTTCTACTGAAAATTCAGAGATTTCCGGTCCTCTAGACTTTCCATAGTCAAGATCCCTAGGCTCTAGTTTCTAAGAAACTGCGAAGAGCGCTTTTGAAATTTGAGTTCTGAATATTTCCAAATGTCTGCTTGAACCTAATTGCTATGAATCCTAGAGTTCTAGACCGTGTGGATCTTAAAAACCTTCCCTTTTCGGAATAATTTGAATTTAGTGAAACTGCCGAACTATCTGAACTGTTTGAGATTAAATATTCAGATGCTTCCGGCCCTCCTAGTCTCTAGATTCTAAAAAATTTCCAATCTCTAACCATCCCAATTCCCAATCTTGATTCCAAATCAAACTCTAAAATTCCAAACTATCAATCAACGTTCCAATCCTTCATACATTTTTCAAAAACAACACCGACAGTTGCGATCGAATATGACAAGTTAATTGATCATAAAAGTGTCTTCTTCTTCTGGGAAAAAAAGACGTTGAGAGAGAATTTTTCGAAGAACTCGACGGACCATACACAAAAAGATAGGGGGTGGTCAAGGGCAGTGAGATATTTCCACCAGATAAGTTCTCATGACTTTTTGAGATTCCGATATGGATAAACTTTGGATGGGGTGCTAAGTTAGCATTGCTAACAAGAGATTATTACTTCCATTCATCAAAATTCCTCCCTCATCCCATTTGCCAACGTCTTCTTGGCTTCTGGAGTTCACACACACCTTCAGAATAATTCATTTCCATTTCATAAAAGTTGAATAATCTTCATCTCCTTCTTTCCCCCATAAGACGTCCAGACTCCTTTTTACTTTTGCTGCTTCAAAATGAAATGGGAAAAAAGACAAAATCCTAGAAAAAAACGGAAAGTTTTAGTAAAATACGCGGAAGCCGGTGTGTGACAAGCAAGCGATAGATTTGAAACGAAAATCGCAGGAAACGATTTACTCGATTAAAGTGAGACACTAGGGTCCCCCGCCCGCCTAGAGCTTTGCTATTCAACCCAAAATTTTCACCCGATCCCCGCCCACTTTGGAATTTCACCGCCTGAGTTTTGACAACTTGATCATTTCTTTCTCAATCGTTTTCTTCCCCTCTCTTTAGTTTGTAAGGACCATTGGACCCCTAGGGAAGCCCCGCCCACTTTGCCTCCGCCTCCTCGAATTTCGTACTGCCTCGCACTTTCTAAATACAAGAGTCGACCTCCTCCATTTACCCGTTGGTCCGTTCGGTTTGGTTTTTTCTCCTTCCCCCGTTTTCGACTATCCCCTTCCCGCGCGGGACTCTCTCCTCTCTGCGTTCTCTTCAATTCATATACTATTTCCTCGAAACGGCCCCTCATGTTTGTGAATTTGTTAAGAGTCGCCTGGGGTGGTGGTGGTCCATTTGACCTTTTTCTCGGGAGACAATTGTTTCTTTTTTTTACTTTCGATTCCGTTCACTTTTATGATGTTGACTAGAGAGTGGTCAGTTGATAAAACTTTTGATAAAACTGCGGGGGGCCCCAGCAATAATTTCTGTGCCTGATAAGATAAGGTTCATTGTTCTTAACTTGTCTAGAATTTTAGAACGGTTTAGTGATTTTTGGTTTTTTAGATATTCAAAGTTTAGTTTTCGACAAATGAAACTAGGACCTTCGAATCTAGGAACCTTGAAATTAGAATTCAGACCCTATGACATAAAATCTTGGAACCTAAAATCTAAGACATAGGATCTAAGGTTTAGAATCCGATCATTGTTAGGGGACCTAGAGTAAAAAAGTATCTGAAGACCGATTGTTCAAAACACTTAATTTTTAGAATTCTAGGATTTTATGCCTAATTACTACCGTATCCTTTTTTCACTAGTTTCCCTACTTCCTATTTCCCAGGGTACATGTTCCATTTTCTGGCTTTCCACCCGGTTCCCTGTAAATTTAATTGACCTCTTCACCCCTTCAAAATTTCCCCCTAAATACAGTACCTCCTCCTTTTTCCTTGAGAAGGTCGATGTGTAATCTCACTGTGAAATCTCACCCAATCAAACAATAGGGACCTCTATTCCCCCTTCTATCGCTAATCCTTTTCATACAGTCTCGTTCTTCATTGTTTAAAAACGCAGACCTCGAATTTCGAATGCCAGTGGGGCGGCTCAAAAAATGTTATCCATATTCGGATGGATTTTCGCAGATCATCCCTCCGGATAATTTGATTATAAAAAACTGAATAGGGTAGAAGATTCCTGAGGTCTCGAGCAGCCAGTCGGCAACATTCTAAATTCTAAATTCGGATTCCTTTTTTTTCCAAATCGCGGGGCGTGAGAAAAAACCGAAAAATTCTTCTGCGGACGAAAGTCATGTGAATTCGCGAAATCCAAGTTTTTGTGCCCTAATCCTTTGCATTTTATCCAATACCGATTTACTGATACACCTTCTAAGCTCTTTTTCTCAACGATCTTTTATCTTTTAATATTTCGAGTGCAAGAATTTTACAATATTTCAATCTCTCATTTCATTCTCCCATTCCATTTTCATTTTTCTTTATTTTCAGACTAGCAACCAGTTTAACGTCATGAAGATGACCAATTCTGGAGGATCCACTAGCCCAACCTCGTCTTCTGGAGCCCCATCGTCGTCTTCGATTCTGGCTGAGGCCGATGAGAAGGAGCAATTCCTCCAGAGCCAAATGTTGCAAGCTGGACAGAATCAGTGGATGCAGATGCTTCTTCAGCAACAACAGCAGAATCTGGAGTCGCCAACGAAAGCAAAAGTTGCAGAGGATCTGATGCAGAATCCATCTGCCATTATGGAATTGTTGGGTGGAACTACAGATTTTATGAAGATCGCTGCCAAACTTACGCAACAGAAACAGTCGGTAAGTTGGAAAAGAGGGATTTACATAGATTAGGAATACTCAGATTTGGAAGAAGACGTGTCATGGAGGCTTAGCAATGTTTTCTGAGTTTTTTATGCAAAAGTTAATTTGTTCTAGATATTTTTTGGAAACTCGAAAAGTGGTTATGTCATATGCCAGACAGCTGGGTGGTTGTAAAATTAAGTGACAATCCGAAGTGTTCTGGCGGGCAAGGGGTAGCTATGTAGTCGTGAAGTTAAATTTTAGACAATAAAGACCCTATTTTATTCTAATCTAATCTTCATTACAGTCCGATCAACCAGAATCCGAAGAACGACGTGATGCTTCTCCATCTCCAACACCAGCGGTCTCTCTCAACTCCCAACTTGCTTCCATGATCCTTCCAACTACCTCCACTTCCACAGGATGCAGTGCAGCCAGCACAACGTCTTCTGTCGACTCCGCCGCTTCATCTGTTATCGTCAATGGACACGTCTCCGCACCATACTCATCCGCATCAGTAGACGACGACGATCTTTCAATGCAGCCAAGTGCCAAGAAGCAGAAATCTGAAGAATCTGAGACACCACTGACACCAAACCATCAACTCATGCAGTCACTTCTCGCGCAGATTGGTCTGTCGACACCAGTTCAGCAAGGAAATCAGAAGAAGGATCCAAATGAAATGATGCTCCAAAACTTCTTCCCACAATCCCTGGCACTTCCATTGATGTTCCCAGGAAATATTCATTCTCAGTTTGGAATGCAAGATTTTGAGTCTCTCTCGGCCCTTTCCACACCAAACAAAGGAGCTGGAGTTAAGAGGCAATATTCTTCAAATGGAAAGAATTACTGTGATATTTGCAATAAGGAAGTCTGCAACAAATATTTCCTTCGAACCCATATGCTCAAAATGCACGGAATCGTCATTGATGAGAACAAGACTGTCATTGCTAACATTGATACCAGCATCAAGGAGCGGGAAGGAGAGCTCACATTCAGATGCGATACCTGCCGAACAATGTTCAAGACTCGCAATCAACTTCGGCAACACAGACAGGATGTTCATGGTGTCCTTCCGCTTTCTACTCCAAGAAACAATCAGAACAAGCCATCAGTGCCAAATACGCCAAATGGAGCCACCAATAACAGCTCATCCGGACCAAATTCCGCATCAATGGGTGAGGAGAAGTGCCAGTTGTGTGATAAGAGATTTGCACCAGCAATGATGGGATTCCATGTCATGCAAGAGCATATGGGAACTGTTGGAGGAGCCAACGGATCTGCAGATATCTCTCATGTTCTCTCCATGCTCAATCAAGCAAACACCCGTGGACAGTCGGTCAGCGAGGAGAAGGAATTGGGAATGGCGGTTTTAGAGTGCCCAGACTGCAGTTACAAATGCAAAGACGCCAAGAATCTTGAGATGCATATGGAGCGTCACGAGAAGATGAACGATGCCAAAATCAAACAGGACGATGACGAAGATGTGGCATTGAAGTTGACCACTGAGGCAGCGCTTCACATGGTCGTCCAGAACCAGAATCAATTCGATGGAGACTCGGCAGCACTCAACTTGACTTTCAAAAATGTTGATGGCATTAAAAAGGATTTGGAAGAGGAGAAGAATGCTATAGGAAATCATAATCATGAGAGAAACTCGCATACGGTAAGAAACTATAGCTATGAACATTGGAAATAAATTGTCATTATTTCAGAGCGGAAGCATCTCTCCATCCGGATCCCTCTCGGACACTTATGATAACAAGAACGCTGCTGAGAAGCTGTTCCCAATACAAACCGTTTTGGTCAGGTGCCACGATGAGAATGGTGAGTTAGCCTAAACCTTTTTTTCAAATCAAAATCTAAAATTCTTTTTTTCAGGTCAGCTCCCAGCAGAATTCCTCGTTCGACTTCCAGTCCGCTCCCAGATCGATGGACCACGAAAGATTGTCTTCGAGCTTCTTCCAACACCAGTTGCCTCTTCTTAAATCCCCAGTTGAACAGTTTCTTCAAATCTAAGTCTTATTTCTCTCAACTTTATGTATGGGTACCCCTTTTACTGGACACGGAAGACACATTTTCATACATTTTTTAAACTTCGAATTCTGTGGTCCATCTTCCCCAAATCCTCGCCCCGTTTCCGATCTCTCTTCCGATTATGTCTCCTCGATTTTTAATTTTTCTTCCGATGTAAAAAAAACCCATCACCACCCAGCAAACCTCTTTCATTCAAAAATTTCATCAATTTTATCGTTTTTTTTTCTAAATGTCACTCTGTCTCTCCCAGTTAGCAACGGGCAATTTCATTCTGCTACTCTAAAAAGCAAAAAATGCCAACTATCCGCCAATCCGTGCATTTTTTCTCGCAATTCCTCATTTTGTCTTCTCCCAAAGAATGTTTCCAAAGTACCCCTCGTAAACCTGCCATTCTTCTTTTTTTTAATTAGGATATTCCTTAATCTATCACACATATAATCTTGAAAGTTCTCGAAAATTTTTTCTTAATTCTTTTAATTTGATTGTAAAGAAAATACTCCAAATAATTTATTTGATCTTGTCCTTCCCTCCTCATCTTAATTGTTTCCTCCAGTAATTTTTCCTTTTCCGAAAAAATGGGAAAAACCTATGAGAATACATGTGTATGTGTACGTTTTTGAGTGCCCCAACCAGATAAAGTGAGGGATGTTTATGGAACTTTTCTTTTTATTTTCACGTCTTCTTCTTTTCCTTCTGCGCGACACGTCTTCAGAAATTGAGTTTACCGCGCGTGCCTGAGCACCGTAGAAGAAAAAGTCATCCTTGAAGAATCTCTCGCACGTCTTCTAATACTAGTATTCAAGATGATGGTCATACCTGTCAGCCAGCATAAACTTATCAAAATTCGAAGAGTTAATCGGGATCGTCTCACGAAGTTTGCCCTAATCTGTTCAGCTATCGCTTGTGGATGTAACACACTTTGTGAGTTTTATGACGAAGAATTTTTTGGTTTCAATTTGGTCATTTGAGGTTTTCACACGAAATCATAAGAATTTACGAAATCGAATGGGAAAGTGCGAGACTGAAATTTTTGGATAGTGCAAAAGAAATTTGATTTTTAGTCACAGGTTCTTTGATTTAATTTTTGCGAAGATTGAATACATTGAACGAATTTTTCAAAAAAAAGGGTCAAGGGAAAACATTGGAAATGTCTGAAAATCTGCTCACAAGTGTTTTGTGCTCAAAGTTTTGGGCAAAATTCTTTGATTCTCGAAAGATCTGTGTTATCGAAATTAAGGAAATGACTGTATTCTCTAATGTAATTGTTCATTTATTCTGAAATTTATTTTCAAAACTTCTGCTGAAAAAAACTGCCTCATAAATGTTCAGAACTTTGAAATTGTGGGAAATTCAAAATGGCGAAATCTAATCAAATATAATCATTTGAGATGTTTTTGCTGACCGGTTCTGACCAACTAAAAATTATTCAGAGATGTCAGAACATTTCATGTTCTATGAACTTATAAAATCAAGTTTTATTGAATTGAGTTCTGAGTTTCGTTGTTCTCGGGACATATTATTACATTTGTCACAAAAAAGTATTGAATTCCAAATAAACTAGAGTGTGGTATGAAGACTCGAAATTTTCGATTTAGTCTGGGTAAAAGAGAAGTTACCGTAAAACCTGTAATAGAAGGGCACCCACGCCGTCAAGTTTGAGCGCACTTATCTCGGTTCCTATGAGAGATATCAAAATAGTGTCAACTGATAAAATTTTTGTGATAATATGATAAACATTTTATCAGTTGTCAACTTTTTGATATATATGTGACAGAAACTGATAAAAATTGACTCAAAGTTAAAAGTTAGGGGGACCCTTCTAAAACAGGTTTTACGGTAATGGAGTTGCAAAAACAACTATCACACATGACTTATCATCAGATCTACCACTGAAAATTTTCTAGAACTTCAGGTAAATGAAATATGAGTACTGTTCGGAATAAAAAATCGAAATTTCGGAATCGAATTTAGTGATGCTCAAGCTGAGTGAATTATACAACAAAAACTGTAATTTCGAGTACTACCTATTCATAATTCTTTGCTCCATGACATCATCATGGTCACTTTTTTTCTATTTTCAGCTTCATCCACAAACCACTGGCTCTACACATCTGAAGTGCTCAAGTATTTCGTTTTCCCAAATCAGACACTCAACTTTGATGACACCTCAACAGCCACAGCTCCCGTTTATTTTAAGAATGCCACCATCGGACCGTGGTTGTTTTGTTGGGCTGATCGTGAGGGATTTTTAAAGGACCAAAATATTTGATTTTTCTTCCAGCCATTACTCCATTCCACTGCTCGACTGTCTATTATCTGACAGATGAGGAGCCTAGTGACACAACGACATCAGTTCAACGTGAGAGATTCGGAGATTCAGAAGCCAAAAAATTCCATGTTTTCAGAATCCGTTCGACGTGCATTTCTTTTCATGCTTGTTGGAATGATTCTGGATGGTTTCGGATTAATGATGGCAGTGATTTGTTATTGTTTAAAGAATCCGTATGCCTCTCTTTTGGTGTCAAGTCTATTACATATAAATTCAGGTATGGAATAGAAAGTTTTCTAGGTCATCAAATTATTTTCTCTTAGGAATTGCGAACTTCTCCTGTATCATTGTTTACATGTCGGCTGTATCTAAAGAAGTTGGTAACAAAATCCACGCTGCAAGTGAAATGGATGACCCACTTTTCTATATGTCGTATGGATTCTCGTTCTGGTGTTTGAAAGTAAGTTTTCAGAGGATAAATTATATCCTTTTCAATTATTTCAATCAGGCAAGCTTCCTGTTTACGGAACTAGCTGCACTATTTTCAATTATCGTCTATATGGCGAAACGAGATGAGCGGACCTTCAATCGCTACAAAATACGAGCCACTTTCAATGCACAAAAAGAAGTGAGTGTTCTTTTTCAAAATTTTATTACAATTACATCCTTATCATTTTCTAAATTGTCTATTTTCACATAATTTTCATGATTATCCATCTTGGTCCACTCTGCTGGCGACCCTTTTGCATAATACTGGAACACTAGATTCGAGATGAAAAGTATCACAAAATGGCTCATCCAAACCCAATACCACTCATTCCATGTGTCGTATTTCACAAAGAAATTCACAAAAACTGGAGCTATAAGGGCAGCAAGGCAGTTGAAAAAAGAATTCATTCCCATGACGAAGTGATTGTGTTGGCTGAAAAATTGTATAAAGCGGGACTACGGCCAAAAATTTTTATTGTATCAAAATGTTCCCACTCTTATGTATTTTCCTAATATTATTATGAAAAAGTTCAAAAAAAATTCCGAAATCTTTGAAATACTAGAAAAAAAAAACATAACTTCAATACAATAAAAGTTTGTGGTCGGAGTCCCCCTTTGAGAATTAGAATTCTAAAAACCCAAAACTAAAACTCACGCTGCATAAATAGCAGAACATCTGAAAAATCCTCCACAATTGAAACCAATTATTGCACATGACACCACTAACATCCATAATCCCATGTAAGGATGACTAGTTGGGATGTAAGCCAATCCCAAAAACGTTAAACTCATTCCTCCTAAAGCCAAACTATTGAATATCCGAACCGATGTGTTTGGCGAACAACATCCTAGTTTATCAGCTGAATATCCTGCGGAGACCTTCACAAATGCTGTTATCACTTGTGGAAGAGCACTGAATGGTCCTGTGTCTTTCACAGAGAATCCCAGAATTTTATGAAGATATGTTGGTGAGAATTGCATAGTCAGCTGGATTCCCATGAAATTTGCCAAAGCTGTTGCCCAGATACTCAGAACTACAGGATCCTTTAGAATTTGTCTGAGAGGAACCGGTTGTCTTTTGGTTTCTCGTTTGCCACGCTGAATTTTGGATAGCTCAAGTTGGGTGACCAATTTGTGAGAGATTGGGTTTTCTCTGAAGTTTAAAAGTTTAATCATAATGACCTCAAAAATTAGGTACCTGTAAAAAACAAAGAACACTGTGAATATCAAAATTGTAACCAGCGAATGCACATAATACACAGAAGGCCAGCCAATAGAGGAAGTGCAGAGAGCTCCAGAAACAGGCATAGTGAATATCGGACCAAGCTGAAGAACTATGGTTAGGAATCCCTCTAATTATAGAACTCTTACCTGAAAGAAACAAGAAAGACATGCAAAAAAGAATGCTCCTTGTGCTTGCATGGACCATTGTCTGGTGACTATTCCGATTAATGTGAATCCAGTAGAAAGCCCCATTCCTTGGAAAAATCGCATTGCTAGGAGAGGATAGTATCCCAAATAGGCCATCCATGGAATTAGAGCAGTAGTCAGGGCGGAGAAAAAGCCAACTAGAGTTACAACGGCGTGAGATCCAGTTTTCTGAAATATATTAGGTTGTTCGGAAAGTTCTTTCCATTTTTGATCTGTTGTTGTTTTCAAACTTTGTTTTTTGAACGGGGTAAAAGCGAGGAAGCTGTCGTTTTATCAGTATATTAGTGGGGTCTAATAGTGTCTGCACCCCAACAGAGATCATTCCTCCCTTTTCGTGTAATAAGATATGCTCACTGTTTTCGGCTCTATCAATTTCCATTTTTCGACTATCATTTTAATTGTATTTATATCTGATCTTAAATTAGCTGAAATCGATCGCCAACTAATAGCGGTTAACAACGCAAATGCACCCATTCGAACTACCATCACAACCTGGATTCAGTAATTTGAAAAACGGGAATTCTTGTCTGACGAAAATCCCCCTTCAAAAAGGCAAATGGGCTTAGGTTTGGATGCATTAAAAGCCGGGAAAGAAAGGGACCCTCCTCAAACTGTGCGTGATATATGAAGTACATCAGTGGCAAGCCTTTCGTTAAAAAACCGTAGATTGAAAACTCTCGGCACAGTCAAAAAAGTGGGAAGAAATTGACCCCATCTTTTGGCTCAACACAACTTTTTTCACCGGGTGGGCACCTGTTTGAATCTTCTCATCCTGCGTTGCACACATGAATGTTGGAATCAAACCATTGCTAGTGGTGATAAATGGGTAATGTGTGATTACAATAAGCAACATGCCATGTGTGTTGACAAAGGCACTCAACCACCAGAAGCCTCGTAACGTGAAATTCGTGTTAAAAATGGGATGTTGTCGGTATGGTGGTCTACCAAAGAATGGAGTATTAGGAGCTGCCTGATAATAGTGTCACTTTTACGACCCATACCTATTCTTGTCAGGTGACATAACTCAGACTTTATGTGGATCTCGATTGGAGAGGAACGCAAAGGTTTATTTTGAAAATTAAAATTCGCAACCTCATGCGGGAAGGAAGACCCAGGCCGATCTCGGTGGATATGTCTAGACGATTCTGCCTTATTCACTGTATAGCTCTAACCTTCTACTTTCTGATTATTACCCATCCAGCCACTTCTAACGTCATCTGATTGACGAAAAATTACTTCAAAACAACGTATCAAAAATGGGTTGACTTGATTTTGAACTCGCTGTGACCGGAGTTCTGGAAGGAAGGCATCCACAATTTAGTGGGGCATTGGCAGATAGTCATTGATAACGATGGTCATTACATCCAATTTATCCGACATCGTTTTGACCTATTTTACTTTGAATGTATCTGGCGCTAAAAATGGAAAGAACTTTCCGAACAACCTAATAAGAAGGTTACTGTGGTTTTGTGACAATGTGTTTTTCTTCTAATTTCTTTCATCTTTGACCCCTTTTTTAGCCTACCCAACGAGCCGGAACTGGGAGACGTGCCTCCTGAGACTTCTCCTAGCTCATCTTCACGTGCAAAAATTGTGACTTTTTGCACGCAGGTCTTAATCTCCTCTAGTCATAAAACTTTGAAAATCCCTTCCTTCACAAAAGAACACTCAATAAAATGTGTGGTAGATTTATGGTCAGCTGACAATGTAAACTTTTTGGAAGAGATATTCAAACTTTGGAATATACCGTAAACACTCTAATAGAAGGCCACCCTAGCTCTTTGAGCTCAATTATCTCAATTCCTATGCAAGATTTCAAAAAAATATCATTTGGTGATATTATGGCAAACATTTTGTCAGCTTACAGAATTTTGTTATTTCTTATAGAAACTGTCTTTTAAAATGAAAATGATTTTATTGGGACGAAGCCCATCCTGTAGGTGCACTCGAGCATTTTAGTTCTTTCAAAAGATTTCAAAAAACTTCCAACTGATAAATTTTTAATCACAATATCACCAATTTTTCATCAGTTGATGAATTAATTTTTGATATCTCTTATAGGAATCGAGATCATTAAGCTCAAATGCAGGTGAAGTGTCTCTTGGTCTTTTAGTAAACAATCAGACTTTGGTCCATAAAAAATAGCTTACTTGAATTATATACATAAATGGGTAGACGGCGGTTATTGCTCCGATTGCGACTGCTGAGAATAATGAATTAGATTCAGAAGCTGAATATAGATAACGTTTTTCCAAAATCCGTTTGTTCATCAAAAAGTCCATCGAGGTCACATTGTAACTTGTTGACATACAAATGATGGTGAAATTTAGAGTCAATGTGTTGGATTGAGAAATCGCAAGACATAGAAGACATATGAATAGAATCAAGAATCGGGTCCGGTGTCGAAGTTTTGAAGGGTAACCTTTGGATTCATGGGAAACTGCAGAATTCATAGTGAAACCATTGAAAGTACAGAATAGTTAAAAGTGTGTTTCTGTAGTGGTGGCTGACGGTCGATCAGGTGAACCGGTGTGGGCGAGACTATGAGGGGGAGACAAAATGGAGGATCAAAAGTCAAAATGTTGTAGTACACTGTGTAATGGAGAAAATAAACACAAGAAAGATAAATGATTTGGTAGTGGCCATAAAGTTGATTGTTAAAATCGATCCAATTACAGTGGTAAATTTCAATTTGATTCAAATGGAATCACAAATTTTTACCAAATACCAAAAAGTAACTCATTACCAGAAAAACCTAGGATTTCGAGAAAATTGTAGTTTTTTACCGGTTTTTCAAAAACATATATAATGAAAATATTTACATCATCCATTATTTTTTCAGAAACCTGAGACTACATCTGAAGATCAAGACCGACAGTTGAGTATTCTGACAGACTCCTCACATACTAGATTTAATAGGAGAACTGGGTAATTTTTATTCGTTTTTATCCTAACAAAGATTTTGATTTCTTTTTCTAGATCCCACACAACTGCTGATTCCCCCCCACCCGAACTCGACTCAATGATAAAGACTTCTGGCTCCGATAGAGCTCTTCAAAAGTACAAAACTGGAATCCAAGGCTCGTTCTCACTTCTAGCAGAGTCGTTTAATCATCTGCCAGAACAGAGCAGGTCCGGAAGCGAGATATCATATAATGGAAGACGATCGACGATTCGCAAACCACCCCAACCTTCGAAATCGCAGCCATTGAGGCGGTTTGCAATACCAGTGTCGCAGGGTTATCCTTCATTGAGTTAAATTTCTGGTATTTCATGAAATAAATTATTTTTCGATGTTTAAATATATTATTTTTGAATTTTTTGACTGTCATCACAAGACCAATGAGAACTTGTCGGTCTGTTAAAGTAGTTTGCAGAGATGTTCGGAACGGTATTCAGAATTCCGAAAACTCCGACCGGAAAATTTTCGAAGCTTTTTTCAGAATCCGAGACTTTCGGACTACGGTATGTCAAAGGTGCACACTGAAAACTCGCTTGCGGGTCTCGAACGGAGTTACTTTTGATATTTTTTTTGCGCTGTCGAAATCTTTCTGTCAATTTTCAACAGTTTTCTTGTGTTTTTGTAATGGAAAAGTGGAATTTCTTCTTTAAAATTGTTTTTCAAAATTCCGAAAAATCAGAGATTCCTGGTAGTTTGGTTTCACAGCCATTCCATTTTTCAGTTTTTCTCTTCAACTTTTGCGAAATCCCCCCAAAATTTCAAAAAGCGCATTTCGAAATTTTTTTCCCTCTTTAGACTCACATATATTCCTTTTCGTAGTGTATAAAAACGCCCGCGAGGTTTTGTATAGCTTATTTGAGCTCTCCACTTGAAAAACAAAATTTTGAATCGATTTTTGAAATTTTATTTTTCCAGATTTTTCAACGAAAAAGAAACCTTCCTTTTCCTTTTTTTTTCAAAGGAAAAACTTCAGATGACTGACTTCAAATGGCTTTCTTCCAAATTAAATTCACCTTTCCAATTTCCCACCCAACTCATTTAATTTCTATTTGAAAATTTCCTTTCCAAATTCCGTAGTTTTCGAATCGAAAGCAGAAAAAGCCAAATCTCTCCACCCACAACTTAATCTCTGTATATATATAGCTGAATTCTCAATGCGCTCCTTTTCGTTTCGTTTCGCTCAATTCCTATATTTCTATTCTCCTGCTTCTTCCCGTTTCGCTTCTTTTTCTCCTATTTCGCAGTTTTCGCCAGTTTTCAACACAAAATATTTTTGCTCACTTCTGCCATGATTAGTCTCACTTACGCTGGCTCTTGCCTTTTCTTTAACGTCTCTCCATCTACTACACACTCACTTGCACTTCAGCATAACATCTACATTTTCATTTTTTCCAGAATTTACGACGGCGAGCCCACAAAACGAAAGAAATCCTTCTCCGTCCGCTTCATTCATGTCGTTTCTTTCTAACTCGTGTCAAATGACACCTACTCAAAAACGTAAAACTAAAAGCGTCGGACCGAAAGCGAAAAAGTCTAAAACAGAAGATATCGACACATTATCTCAATCGCTGATGAATCAAATGAAAGCGACAAATCCAAAAGATGAATTATTGCTTCAGCAGTTATTCTGTCAGACGACCGATTCTCCTGTTTCTAATGTAAGTTTTTTATAGTTTTGAACCCTCATAAAAATGTTTTCAGTCCACAAAAAAAGCGTCACGTCACCATGTTCCTTATACTGCCAGTTTCTGCGACATCTGCAAGAAAGAAGTTTGCAATAAGTACTTCCTCCGTACCCATATGTTCAAAATGCACGGAATTGTTATTGACGAGAACAAGACGGTCATAGCGAAAATCGACACGAGAATGAACGAAGGAGAGCTGACATTCAGATGTGAAGACTGTAAGCAAACGTTCAGAGCACGAGATGCGCTTCGGGAGCATCGATATGAAGTGCACGGACTGAAATTGGCGCCGCCACCATCAGATTCGCTAGGCGAAACAAGCGACGATTCGTCAGGATCTCCTAGCCCGCCAATCGAAGAATCTGATGACTTTGCAAACATTTTGTCGATTATCAGCGAAGCAGTCGAAAAATCCACAGAGACTTCGGAAGAGAAGACGACGGATTTCACTAAAGCATCAGAAAGCGTATCGGAGGAATCTGAAAAGGTGGAAAACGAGGTCGAGTGTACCCATTGTAGTGAAAAGTTTGCGCCGGCAATGATGGGATTCCACGTCATGCAAGAGCACATGGGAGCTATCGGTGACAATATCGACATTGTACTTTCGATGCTCAATCAAGCGGGAACAGCACCAAGAGAACCATCTCCCATTGGATCAGAAGAACCCCTCAAATCTTCAGAAGTCGTCAAGAAAAATTTGAAAACCACCCGAATTCATAAACGTCGTCAAAAGTGTACGGAATGCAGCTATCGCACTCGTAGTGATAAGAACCTTTTGATGCATATGATTCGGCACGAAAAGATGAATACGGCGGGAGAGGCTGAAGCGATCAACGCAGAAGCGATTTTGAATTTCACGCAGATGTTGGCGGGCGAACAAGCAGAGACAAGTACAACTTCAGAAGCGCTCAACGTCGACTCGGAAGTTCTTCAGAAACTAATGATGGAGGAACTCGAAAAGCAAGCATCAGCACTTCTGAAAAATCAGAACCATACCGATACGGTAAGTCAGACGGAGATGCGCGTTGCGGCCGAAATTACACTTTAAAGGAGTTTTCTCAGATGTCTTTTAAAGGTGGGGGGACAGGACATTTTACGGGGGATTTTTGGGGCCAGAGTATGCATTCTACCGTAACGGTGTACAACGCCTAATGTCACTCTGCGTACAGCTGTCGCCCTCGCCTTTATGTATGCAATCGGGCAGCTGCTTTCTCTTTGCACGCGTAGCTCAGTCGGTAGCGGCGCCGCACCTCCAACACTCACCTCGACAAGTTCAACTCCTCGAGGAGCATATTTAAACGGAATTTCGACAACATTATTCTTCTCATGTCTCCCCACCTCTAAAGGCACATCGTCAGTCAGTAGCGAGAAAAGCGAAGTTTTGAGAAAAAGTTCATGCACCTTTAATACCGTACCTCATTTTCAATTAATTTAAGTCTATTTTTAGGCTTTTTTCATAAGGAACTTCTGTTTAAAAAATGAAGAAGCGAGCGAGAGAAAAAATAGACAATATTTGAATATTTGTGAATAACGATTTAAAGGCGCATGCACTTATTCGAGAAAAGCCTCTCTCTTTTTCGCTGCTGTACCGAAGATGCGCCTTCATTTTCGCCGCCGGCTAGAGAATTTTTCAACTCGTTATTTTCAGAGTGGAAGTGTATCCCCTGCCGAAGTAGCCCTCGATCGAAATCATGAGGAAACACAGCTTCTAACCCAAAAGATTCTTGTCAGGTGCTCCGATGAAAGCGGTAAATAACTTCAGGAAGTTTTTTTCTCTCATTCAGCTTCATTTTTTCAGGCCAACTCCCCGCCGAATTCCTCTTGAAATTGCCAGTTCGCACACTTCTCACGGAAACACGAAAAATTGAATTTGAGCTCATTCCGACTGCTGACTGAAATTCTCATCGAAATATGATATTATTCACAAGTGTTTTATTGTGATTCTACCCCTACCTTGTCTACATATTTTGTTCCTCTTACCATCTGAAATCTCATTATATTGATATTTTTTACTTGTCTGTTCCGTTTTTCCTAGATCTCACTCTAAATAATAACCTTGGCTTTTTAACTGATCTCCTCTTCCTATTTCCACTCATGTTTCCCTATATTTTTCACTTTGCAATTGAGCAAGTGTCCTATAAAAAAGTTTGATCATATCTAACGCTCTGAAACTCCTTTTTTTTTCAAAAAACAGAGGAAATACTAATTTGCTAAAAGATCATTTGCTGAAAGTGTGTTCCAGGCTCTAAAAGTCATGTAATGTGTTTTTGTTCTTCAATCTTCCGAAATTTCGAAAAAAAATCGGTGGAAAACTGAAGATATTCCTCTAATAATAGTGTCAACTTAAGCCCCACATTGCACGCAAAATATAGTGGACAGCGGAACGCGGGAGATGTCGGTACATCTGGGAGACATCCCTATAATAACTAGAATTGGATTGTAGCTCGGTTCCTTTTCAAACGATTGTCCTGAAGTGCAAACCCCAACAAAGTCAGAAAATATCACAAAAATTGCATATTTAGTTTAATAAGGAAATATCAAAGGATTAGTTCGAGAAAAAATTGTTAAAAACTCAATACAACAAAAACATTGCTCAGGTAAATCGGAAAGCCTTTCTGAGCTACATTCGAGCAATTCTGAAACCTTTTCAAGCAGAAAGTCCACGATTAAACTTTTTCAAGCCACAATCAAACTTTTCAAACTTTTCTAAGCAACTTGTAAACTTTATCCAGCTGCGCTCGAAACTGAAACTTTTTAAAGCCACCTTTTTCAGTCATGTTTAAACTTTTCAAACCTTTTTGAGCCTTATTAAAACTTTTCTGGCTTTTCGAAAGATTTATTCTGTTTTCAAAAATTATTTTACTTAATTTTGTTTTATTTTTATCATCTTTTAATTTTTTGTTCGTTTCCATATGTTTGAAAGTCGTGAAATGCTTATTTGAGAGAAGATCCAAATCACAATCTCCTGGAATCATAATCTATTGCTCAAGAACTATTATCGAAAAAACGTCATGATGAATCATTGAATGAGAATTCAAACCTGCCGTCAGAACGGAGTAATTTAGCCTACGGTTCGTCAGTTTTAGTAAAAAAGGAATTTACCTATCATAATTTCAGACAAGGAGAAACTTCAAACTTCCGAAGCGACAATTTGGAAAATCGTGTTACACCAATATGAGGAAGACTAGATCATGATCGCGATCACATGAACCCGCTTCAAAGACACTATCGAAACTACGTATGAATCAGGAGAGAACGCCTTCCATAACAGTGAGTTGTAGCTCTTAATATCTATTTCTAAAAATTTTAAATATTTCCAGGAGGATATGATATTGGGCTGACAACAACGGGATGCGCTACGATCTGAGGTTCAAAGATGTTTCGAGATCGAGATTCCACTTCAGTTTAAATTTTCTTCTTTTTTTGTTAATTTCTTTTTCTCTAATGAATGTATTTTCTGAAAATCCGTCTTCAAAAGAATTAATAGTTTAAACCGTTAGTAGAAACGATAAAACCTTTTTAGCAGTAAAACACCTTTTTTAAGCAACAGTAAAAATTATAATTAGCACTTTCAAACTTTTTCGAGCAATGGATAAACTTTTCTGAGCAACAACGAAACTATTCTAAGCCCTTTATAAACTTTTTCAGCCGTGTCTAATCGGGCATTAGTTTAATCGTGGCTTGTTTATGGCCCAGAAAGGTTTTCCGAACTACCTGTATACAGTAGTCTCCCAAAGCGGTCATCTCCGTGGCAACGTCTCCAAAAAGAAGTCGAAGAATTTCAATGTTGATAAAACGATCATCTTGCAGAATCATTCCATCAATAGACAGTGAAGGAATGATGCGAATCAGCTAGATTCCGAAAATGTTCTTTTTGAGAATTGCAGTTTTCTCAACACTTGAAATAAATACCGTTTCTGGAAGATCTCGAACAAAACAGATTGCATTTTGAATTTCCTTATCCATAAAAGGCAAATAGAATTTTCAAGCGCTGAGTCGATTCAACCTGTCGTCTGTACCGAATGCCAATCCGAGTTGCTTTTTAACCAGTTTCTTCACTTTTTTAGTCGTATAGTTGCAAGTTTCCATGTGGAGAACAACGATTTCATTGGCTTTTTCAAGAAATTCGAGATCCGCCGCGGGCAGTAGTTTTTTTGATGCAACATGTTTTTGTCTTCGTGACACATGAACAGCTGAAAGTGTTAAAATTTGATTACCTCAAAACCTATAATAGAAGAGTCAATTTATATCAGTTTCTATCAAAGATATAAAAAAGTTGACAACTGATGACTTATTTATCATAATCTCACAAACGTTTTATCAGTTGACACATTTTTGATATCTTTTATAACAGCCAAGAAAAATTAGCTCAGACGTGGCAGTTTGGTGAAAAAACTCACTAACTTTTGTCATTCCAACCTGGAGACATTTTTGGTATCGACAATACTTGCATATACAGTTCTCACGACTTATTTCACAAGATTTCACTCTTCTACATGCGTAATCAGTTTGACAGCTTTTTATTCGAAATGCCTGAAAAAAGACATTTGAATGCCTGAAAAAAGACATTTTATGAGAAGTTTGGTAATTTTCAGAACCGCTCTCGTTTGAAATTTTCCGTTCCCCGAAATTCATGCAAAACTCTATCCCTCACCTTACAACCTTCACACAACATCACTCCATAATGAATCCCACTGGCTTTGTCTCCACATACAGACCTCATTTTTTTGTTGAACTTTGTTAACCAAGCCGACATATGGATATGGTCCGCATGAGGCTGAAAAATAATTATTGTGTTTTTTAGGGTCCTAGAATTCTGCAGGTCCCGTTGAAACCAAAAGCGAGGACCGTGGAAAACAAAGAAAACTACCGTAAACACTCTAATATAAGGTCAAACCTCTAACTTTGAGCTCAACTATCCCGGTTCTTGAAAAAGATATCAAAAAGTTGTCAACTGACAAAATGCTCAACATAATATCAAAAAAATTTCAGTTGACCACTTTTTGATATCTTTCAGAGGAACTGCCTTTTATTAGAATGTTTATTGTATATGGATCTCATCGAGGTTTTACAGAAGTTTTGAAATTTAGAAACCTTGATTCTACTAAATTTCACAGGTTTTGTAAGATCCATAAAGTTTGTGCTACTCAGAAAGAAATTTCTAGATCCGAATTCTTACCACCGCTGGGGACACTGTGTTTTCTTTGGAGTTGATGAACTGTTGGTTGTAGGCAATGTTTGAGTAGCTCTGATGGGGATCCCCGTAGACGGTATTGTCCTGAGCAGCCGGTGTCGGTTCACTAGACAATTGATTATCTGATTCTTGCTGTATTGCTGGAAAATAGACCTTTCAAAGAAAAAGTAATCTGAAATAAACCAACCCAGCTATTTTGACCATGTGACCACTTTTCATCCGGCTTATCTAATTCCAATATCACACTTACTCCATTGACGGAGTATCCGGGTTCAGATTGTATTGATTTGTGGTGCATAACGGAGACTTTTCTAGAGTTGTGTACGTCAACTCTTCGTGGCTCATCTGAAAATTGCAATAGAAAGGCAATTCTAGAAAATATTCTTGCATCGGGCCGGGCCGGGCTTTTTTCACGATTTTCAGGGCCCGGCCCGGAAAAAATTTTCTGTCTTTCAAAAATTTGTTTGGGGTCAACAGAAAAAATGGACCAAGGAAAGCATTTTTCAGATAAAGGTGTCCATAAAAATAGTTCTTTCACAAAAAAATTCGAAAAAGTTGAAATTTCAAAATTTTTTCAAATTTGGAGAAACCGGGCCCTGATTTTGCAAGTATGCTAAAAATGATCTTCTAAATAGCAAGAGAGGCTGCCGAAAAACGGTGATGACAAAAACATTTTTCCAAACGAACAAAACACAAACAAAACAGAAGATCCCATGAAACTCATTAGAGTCATGGAGATGGTACAACATGTACAACTTGAAACAAATACAGCAATAACAGAGAAAAAGATAATGCAATGGGGATGAAACAGAGTCAATGAATGGGAAACTATGAAAAGGAGAAAAAATGTAACAAAAATATAAAGAACTACGGGCAATCAGGTGGGCAATGTTAACAACAAATGGGACCGATACAAGAAATAAAGGCGATAAAAATCATTTACAGATGGAAAGGGATAGTAATTTTAAATTATAAAGGGATGGAACAATAGGATAGGGGTGGTACCAGGGATGAGAACTCGGAAAATGAGAGCTGCTACATATGAGAACTAGAAAATGAGAACTCAGTTTTCCGGCTCTAATTTCCGGCCCAGGATTCAACTTTCTTAGAAAAATAGTTTCGAAATGGTCTCGTTCTTCACAATATTCCAAGATTTTCCAAAAAAAAAATCAGCTTCAGACATGTACTTTACGAGTTCTTATTCTTGCGAGTTATCATCAATGGTACCACCAGGATAGGATACGGAATTATTTACGGACTGGAGCACTTTTAGAAATTATCAGCCACGTGGCATTCAGAGAACCGGAAAGTTGCTATCTTTGAAGTCAAACTCGTAATATGATCCAAAGGACAATCGATCTCCATTGGTGGATGCTGACGGAGAGTCTCCGTATGGAAAGTGGTAGGAGTTTTCCATCCCTTGGAGAATTTCCAACATTTTCTTCCCAGAAGAGAATCTGAAACTTTTCATGAAATACACTAGATTGTCTACAAATCGAACCTCATCAATCGCGCTTTCTCTCTTCTGACTCTCACGTAGAGCTTGTTGAACCAATTCTCAAACCTTTTTGAATAATTTACTTCGTCCAATGTATCACTGAAATGTTAATTTGTCTACTACAACATACATTTGAAAAACTAGTTACCGTTGACCGGTGACAGCGTCGATGCAGGTTTTGAGCATACGTTGAACGACATAATTGCCGAACTGATGGAACAACAAAATGTCCAGAGCATCCTTTCCAGTCTCTCTGTAAACTAACCGAAATGAATTACGGGATATTGTCCTAGAAAACGTACGGATGAGGGATGTATCCATCGAAAATTTCATCCATCATCTCGGCTATAAGAGAAAGCGGAGCATAGACAAAAGCTCTCTCGATCACATGAGAGGCATATTTTTCCTGTGACATCGAGAGAAGGTTACGAAGAAGACAAGTCTCGATAATTGTGTCTCGATACTTGCTCAGAATGCCTGGTGTTTCGATGATATGCTGGATGATGTAGTTGGCGAATTCGTTGTGAGCCAAAGTGGGACATTTGGTCAGGATTTTGCTCATCAGGCGTCGAAGAACGCGAGCTTTCTCGTTTGCTTCTATCTGAAAATAGAATGAAACTGCTGTTGACTATGCGCTTTCTTACTTGATTATCTGTCTCAATCGAGAGAACCTCCACAATTGTCTGCACCACTCGACATCCGTACTTGTCTCGACAGATGTACAAAATGTTCTCCTGGTCGTTTTTTATAAAGAATGAAACTAGAAATTCCCACCGCGACGGCGAGAACTTCTTGATGATCTTCTGCATGATGTGATTGGCGTTGCGGTCCGTGCAGATGGCCATGAGCCAGTTTTTGGATGCGATGGCAGCGACGATAGCGTCTCCGCAATGAAGTTTCTGGAAAAGAAAATGGAATTATTTAAAGATTCCAAGTCACATATTTAGGTTCAAAGTATTACCTCAAGCGCAGTCTGCACAACGCGGCACGCGCTTTTGTCGAGACATAAAGCTTTTATATCGCTGATGATATACTTCTTGATGATCTCTTGTTCCGTGTGGTTAGAGTGCTCAATGACACATTGCATGAAGAAGTTCCCGAAGCCACTTTTGCAAATAGTCAAGAAGATGTCCTTGCTTCCAAGAACTTCGCGGTTGATCCGACGCCGGATCCCTGCGTCCATTGTGTTTCCGCCAAAGTAGTTGCTTTGAAGAAAACTGAAATTGGTTTATTTTAATCAAATGCTTTACTTTCGGGTTCAAACTCACTGACAACCAGCTTTGTCCATGCAAAACGATAGAATCAGATCCTCATGGACTACTCTTTTCAGCGTCAAATCATTGCGAATCTCGTGATTTTCGTCCAACGCCCATGCTGGGAGACTCAGGAGTCGTGTGGCTTGCATGTACTTCGAAATCGAATCGCTTCGATCATCACAAGACGGTGTTGTTCGTCGTTTAACGTGATTGTTGTTCTCGTCGAGGTTCAGTCCGGCTAATGGAAGCGGCAAGCACGACGACTTGACATCGTCAAAAAAAGCAGGAGAAATCGACGTTTCACGAGTCATACGCGGCAACGGACTCCTCATGAATGGGATCGGGCTTCCGCCGTAAAATCCAGGTGACCCATAGAAATCGGCTGAAGATGGCGACGATTGGACGCTCTGCAACATCAAATTTCTTTAAAATTCTTCAATTCAATTTTAGACGAACCTGGTAAGTTCTTCCAAAATGTCGGGCTCGTCGACTGTTTGAAAACGAACCCCGATCCATTGTTTCGCCGAAAAATCGCGATGTTGTCCAGAGAATTCGCAAGAAACCCCCGAGAACAAGTCTAGAAAACTTTTTGGGATTGTGAAAATTCTACGGTATTTTCGTGGTGAGACCGAAGCAAGGCGACGCATGCGCCTTTAACGGCTTACGGTAGCCTCGCCTGTTTTTCAGTTTTCATGTATTTAAAGATTCTAAATATGTACCGATTGTCTACGAGAAAATCGTTCCTGGAGTACAATGAACAAAAAACAAATCGAACACAGGAATTCAAAATTGTTCCATATGAACACAAAAAAACAAAACAGAACACCCTTGAAGGGCGACATGAACATGAGTGCCTAAAAAACGCTAGGGTAGGCGGGTCAACAGTGTAAGGGACAGGATGTCTCATGAGGTACAACATGTACAATAGCAAAACAAAACAACAGAAAACAGAGAATGATGCTAAAGATCTGGCATGGGATATTAGAAACTGGAAAAGAAACAAAGGGTGCAAATGGGCTCTATTAGACTGGGTAGGACACATAACAGTTATTCTACAGAGCTGATGACACTCGAGAAAATTGAAACCGACCCTAGATATAATCATTTACAGACAGTAGGTGGAAATCGGATGGAGCGATAGAGAACAAATGATAAGAAAATTATAGTACGAAAAGAGACTTGGCACAAAAAATGGGCATGACACAACCTAGAATTTCTGGTAGTTATTGAAGTTGAAGTCATAGTCGAAATGAGGCTCCGACGAAATCGAGGTGGTACGCGATGTCCAGTCGTTGCTAGTGGTGGTGGCTGATGGGGAGAATAAAGAGGATGGACAAAACGCGGCGAGAACGTCATCTACTTGAGGGAATGGAGAGTGAAGATCGAAGCTGGTGGCGGTTGGTACGTAGCCTTCCATGCTTTGAAGTATGTCTAGGATCTTCTTGCCAGAAGAGAATCTGAAAGTTCTCGTGTGAAATTATCATATTTCCAGTCAAATCTTCTCGCCTACCTATTCAAGCGAGACTTCTCCCGTCTGGCTCTCACGTAGAGCTTCGCAAGCCAGTTTTCGAATTTGTGGCGGAAATCAATTCCGTTGATGTGTGTATCTCTAAAAACAGAAAACATTGAAACTAAAATTTCTGAAACTGGGAATACCGCTGTCCAGTGACGGCGTCGACACAAATCTGAAGCATACGCTGGACGACGTAGTTGCCGAATTGGTGGAACATCAAAATGTCCAACGCGTCTTTCCCGGTTTCCCTGAAAAGTAATGGAACTTTGAAAATCATGAGATAAAAACTTACGGATGCGGAACGTATCCATCAAATATCTCCTCCATCATTTCTATGATGTGCGACAATGGAGCATAGACGAACGCTCTCTCGATGACGTGAGAGGCATATTTCTCCTGTGACATTGAGAGCAGATTCCGGAGAAGACAGGTCTCGATGATGGCGTTACGATAGTCACTCAGAATGCCCGGTGTTTCGATAATATGCTGGATAACGTAGTTGGCGAATTCGTTTGATGCGAGTTTGGCACATTTTGCTAGGATCTTGCTCATTAGGCGGCGAAGAGCACGAGTTTTCTCCTCGGCTTCGATCTGAAAAGTTCTGTTTCAGTTATACCGTTTAATCACATCACAAATACTGACCTTATTGATCGCCTCCTCAGAAAGCACCTCAACAATAGTCTGCACTACACGACAACCATACTTATCCTGGCAGATGTCCAACAGGTTATCATGTTCTTGTTTGCATAAATAAATCACCAAGAACTCCCATTTTTTCAGTGGCATTTTCTTGATGATTTTTTGAATGACATGATTGGCGTTTTGGTCAGTGCAGATGGACATTAGACGATTCTTGCGTGGTATGGCGGCAACGATGGCGTCGGCGAAGCGAGGCTCGAGTTTCTGGAAAACAGAACGAATCTGCTAAATCTTCTCTATGGCAAAAAAAATGTTCAAAACTGGCTCGACACAAACCTCCAACGCAGTCTGCACAACACGACAGGCGCTCTTATCGAGACACAATGCTGTGATGTCGCTGACTATATACTTTTTAATAGTCTCCTGTTCCAATGGAGTGGAGTACTCGATGACACGTTGCAGGAAAAAATTTCCAAAGATGTTCTTGCATATGGTTAAGAAAACTTCTTTGCTTCCCAACACTTCTCTAGAAACTCGATCTCGAATGTATGGATCCACGTTTTGGGTGTTCTCTCCGAAGTAGTTACTTTGAAGGAAGCTGAAATTTCAAATTTTCAATTAAGTTGCTCAAAATTTCACGAACTGGCAACCGGACTTGTCCATAGAGAACGATAGAACCAATCCTTCCTCGACAACCTTTCTCAGTGTCAGATCACAGCGAATCTCGCGGTTCTCGTCCAATGCCCACGACGGAAGACTCGAGAGGCGATTGCTTCGTAAGTAGTTGGAATCGGCTAGACTACTAGCAGAAGTTCCAAGCATTTTTCTGTTATAATCATCGAGATGAAAACCGTTCAATTGGTGCGACAAATCAGTAGAGGACTCGTCAAAGTACGATGGAATTGCTGGCGAGTTTCTAGTGTTCATCGGACTGAAGCTGGTGTTATAATACTCGCCTAAATTTGTTTTTGTCGTTATTATTCATCGATAAATGGGAGCTCTTACTACTACTAGTTTCACTCAAATAGGTGTCCCGCAAGTTTCTGCGATGATTTTCCGATCGAGCGAAGTTGTTAAATGACAGTGAGTTCTGAAATGATGCAACTCTTTGTTTGAGATTTTTTTTATTATTTTCGGAACCTGATTGGACCTGCCAAAGTGTCTGGCTCGTCGGCTGTCTGAAAATGTATCGCGATCCATTTCCTCCTGGCAAAAAAAAACGTTTAAAAAACCCAAAAAATTGAGAGAAAGGAAGAGAAAAAGAAAAAATTAGGAAGCGAAATTCGAAAATTTTGAATTTCGCAGTGCATGGTTTTTCCGGTCGCGAGCCTATGAAGATGGGAATTGCGTGCGCCTTTAGAAAGTATTACGGTGGCTCGCTGTTTTTTTTTTCGACTAATATTGTAACAAAAGAGCGACATTTAAAATGTAATCTCTCTCTCTCTCTCTCGCAGGTGTTTTCCATTGTCTCATATATTTCTTCCAAGCGTTTGTTCCAGCTGCATTCTTTTCGATTGAGGAAGTTATCCGAAGAAAAGATTCGACATTTACCCTAATACTGCTTTGACACAAACTCTGGATTTTCAGATTAGAGAAAAAGCTAAGGACAAGAACTCGGAATCCTTTAATCTTGCAGTCCACTGGATACAGCGTAGACGATTTTTTTTGAAAAAATCAGCTTTTTTGACCATCGGAATCAAGTAAGGTGCATCTAAAAGTTCTAATTTTCGAGAGGGAAAGTTGAAATTTATAACAATCAGTCCATTTTATTGATAATAGTGATGAAGAAGAAAAAAGAAAGGGGTTTTGAATTTCTTTGAAAATTTCAATAGAAACGATGGGTGCAAGTTTTGAGACAGGAAGAGCGAAGACGTGACGTGACTTAGAGATGGGGTGGCCGAAGTTGAAAAATGAGATGAGATCAAACTACAGACAAGAATAATAATAATTGAGGTCAGAAGATTGAGACGCTTCTCATTTTCTGCCGAAACGGATGAACGATGGAGAAGCACGCTTTCCGAATCTGATGAATGTCGGTTTTCCGTTGGATGATCTGAAAATTGGGTGACATTAAAAATGGGGATGATGATGATGACTGAATGGTAATCGGGATAAGTCTGATTGTTTTTGGGATACTTTTAGTCAGCTTGATGATTTTATGGGAGTTTGGATTTCATAATTGCTGTTTGACAGATACTCAGAGGAGGCCTATTTCTCAAATTATGCGTTTTTTCGGCAATAGCAATGATAAATCATCTACAAAAAGTCATCTATTCAGAATTTGAAAAAAAAGAAACACAAAAAACTCCAGAACTTTGAAATCCTACCGTCTAGGTTTTATTATATCAGGTTTTATAAGACTAACGTGCTTGACATACTTTTGATAACTCCTACGCTAAAGTTGAGAGTCTTGGTTAAAGGGATACCTACCGTAATCCACGAAGATGCACTGCTGGCAGAAGTTGTTAGTTTGCTCGATGATCTCTGGCTGAAACCCAATATATCAATACCTCATACAAGTCACACAGGTTAACTTACAGTAATGTACTCATCTGGAGCAATGAGCTCTTTCTGTTGTTGCTCCTCCTGTGGCTCGACGTCTTCACTGGACGGCGTCTGTCCGGCGGCGTAGACGAGCAACGTGGCAAAAAGAATCGAGAAGAGGAATGTTTTGAGAGATGATGGGAAGGCGTTCATGTCGTTTGTCTTTCGTCTGGAAAACTTGAAAAGTGAAAAAGGGGAGCGATCGGAAAGTTTACGGCAGGTGCTCTCGAGGAGAGGGAGCAGAGATATACGGAGTGGGAGGGGCGACAATAAGTGGGCGGAGCCTCAAACGAGATGACGTAAAATGGGGGATAGACGAGGAAACTGAGAGTACGGGAATCGAGAATCAGGCTAAAAATATGAAGGGTTTTGTATTTTTAGAATGAAAATTGGTGGTGACGAGAGGTAATTTAGTTTTCGAGAGAGAATTCGGTGGTTTTTGAGTTTTGGAGGTTGAATCATACGAGGATGTGAAATCTCTAGATTTCAGTTTTCTGTTTTCAGATTCAGTAGATTCAGAGTTCAAAGAATTTTCTATTCTAAAGCTAACCTTGTCCTATAACATCATTCAAAGATTCTGAGATTCTGAGATTCTGAGATTCTGAGATTCTGAGATTCTGAGATTCTGAGATTCTGAGATTCTGAGATTCTGAGATTCTGAGATTCTGAGATTCTGAAATTCTGAGATTCTGAGATTCTGAGATTCTGAGATTCTGAGATTCTGAGATTCTGAGATCCTGAGATTCTGAGATTCTAAGATTCTAAGATTCTGAGATTCTGAGATTCTGAGATTCTGAGATCCTGAGATTCTGAGATCCTGAGATTCTGAGATTCTGAGATTCTGAGATTCTGAGATTCTAAGATTCTGAGATTCTGAGATTCTGAGATTCTAAGATTCTAAGATTCATCATTTCTGAGATTCTGAGATTCTATATTCAGCATTTCTGAGATTCTGAGATTCTGAGATTCTGTGATCATGAGATTCTGAGATTCTGAGATTCTGAGATTCTAAGATTCAGCATTGCTGTGATTCTGAGATTCTGATATTCTGAGATTCTAAGATTCAGCATTTCTGAGATTCTGAGATTCTAAGATTCAGCATTTCTGAGATTCTGAGATTCTAAGATTCAGCATTTCTGAGATTCTGAGATTCTGGGACCAGAAATCTCAAATCGGCTACAAAAAGTTCTAGACAGGCCTCATTCATAAACCTGCTATACAATATTTCTCAGAAAATTCGTTCGCAAAACCTAGAAGGCAATAAAAATACTCCCCCTCACGATTCAATTACCGGCATTTTTGCAGTATTCTATTCTATGTGCGTGTCTGAAAAATCAAGACTGGGGCAAACAATAAGAAATAATAACGGCCAATGGATTAGTCAATATCATCCCTCATCATTTGTTGTCTTTCTGTTTTGAGTCTTAATTCCATTCTAGACAGAGGGGTCATTTTTGAATGGAACCGCCCGTGATATGACATTTTCCAGGAAGTTAGTGAAAAGGCTTTGACGCATTTTTGTCAAAACGAGCAGAAGCGAAAAAGTTAAACTACTTATCTCACTAGCTTATCAGTGTCAAACGAGTGATTGTCAGAGATGCCATTAAAATACACATGTCGGGTACTTTTTAAATGTCGAGTGGGGTCTGAAATTAGTTTGGAAGAAACTCAGTAGTTCGGAAATATTAAAGCCTAAAAATCGAAGTTTATTTCTAATAATTCTAAAATTCAATATTAACTCTCGGTTTATATTTGAGGACAGTTACCGTAAACCCTATGGTAGAATGACCTCCTAACTTTCAAATTTGAGCCAATTTGTCTTATTTCCTATGAGAGGTATCAGAAATTGTTCAACTGATAAAATTTTGGCAATACTATGATAGAAAAGTTGTTAGTTTACAGCTTTTTGATATCTTTCACATGAAAGGAGATTTATGGGATCAAAGTTGATGGTTTAGCGGTGTCCTTAACTTTTTTGAATCCTAGGCCGTGTCATCTAATCATTCCTAAATCTTCAAGAACATCTACATGAAAATTGAAAAAATGAGCGTGGGACTTGGATATCAATAATGCAAGGGGAGTTTCCAGGAAGAAACCGCTCCTCCTTCCAAGAATAAGTGCTCTCGAAAAGCACACGAATAGTGATACTTATCCATCGGAGATCCCATATAACTAGCGGAAGACAACGATTTTCGAGCGAGTACGGGGGATAAGTGCATCAATTGTTGTCTACATTTGGACTTAAATATCTATTGACGTAACTGACCGAAAAAAAAGCAACGATATGCAAAATTTATGAAAAGACGTACTTGTATTTATAATAAGTAACATGAGAGGGGGGAGATGAACATTATACCCGCCTGATTGGTCACCCGATATGGGGACCAAGTGGGCAAAAAGCCATGACACTTGAACTTTTAAATTTCGAATATCTTTGAAAGCGATCAGAATGTGGGTGGTGGCAAAAGTCTCCCTTTTGATGTCACTAGAAATGATTGAAGTACACGTCATGGAGGACCAAGTCACCGGCAACTTCTGCTAGGAGGTTGGCCCAAGGTTCCGACCTAGTAGTGTTTCAATTTTCAACTTCCGACAAATACCTGACCGTGGCCCGCTATACAGCCGTTTTTGGGAAAGTTCCGACCAGGACCTGGTCAACATCCGTTCAAAAGCCAAACTCCCTCCAATTCTTACCAGAAGTTACAAACCGACACCCGAGGTACTGTACCTAGAAGAAGGCGTTCCAGAAAAGGACAAGCTCGAGGAGCAAAGACAAACTATCTGTTTTTGTATGTTTTTTTTGTGGTTGTCGACGTCCTGTCAAGTTCAGACTCGAGCAAAGTTTAGTGTAGTTTCCTTTGTTGCAGAAATAAGGAAGACACTTCCTTGTTTTTTTTTCAAATTTCGAACACAGTCTAGGATACACGATACTCTCGGATCTAATTGTGACGCCAGTGGATTTTAGGATCTAGATTCACTAGCTTCAAGCTCAGAAGTCATAGTCTCTTGATCTATAGGTGTTTTTGGTATCTCCTCCAGACCGACCTTTTCCACGAATCTATCGCTGCTACGCACGACTTCTAGAGTGAGTTAAAACAACTTATGACGCGTCATCGAGCCCAGGACATCTAACAATAAATGTAAATATTCAAAAAAAGGAACGAATGAGAAGAATTGGATAATGAGGAAGAGTGGAAACAAGGAAGAAAAAAAGTATCGAGACAACTGAAAGAGACAGACGAAACGTTCAAAAATGCATGGTTATAAATACTAACCAATTCTTGTCAGGGAGAATTTGAGTAGGGGGTTGGGATTTGATTGGATGGGGATTATAATATATCGCTAAAAGCAATATTTGCAACCCGCAAGTAAGCCGAAAGTGATTAAGGATATAAGGTGTGTGACATGAAGAAATCCGGAAGGATTTTGTCTTTTTAATATGGTTAAGAAATTTTTGGGAGGAAAATGAGAATAATTCTAGAGAACAAAAAATGACATATATTGTGTCTGCAATTGATACTTGGTCTGGAATTTAATCAAACAATGCAGGTGAAATAATTGTGACGCGGAACAAGGAAAAAAAATATTGTGTAGTGCCTGAAGGTGTCGGAAAAATGCCTCCAGAAAATTTAAAATATGAGAAGTTGATTTAAAGTGGGGAGAAATTGATTTTTGATTTTTAAGATTTATTGGTGTTAAGGTATGCATTCTGTGCCATAGTAGCCAAGCTGGTAGCAGCGTTGCACCTCCAACATTGGAAATTCGAGGAAATATTCTTTAAATCCCCACCACCTTTAAAAAGTCAAATTTCAAATTGAAGAACACTTTTCAGAAGGTGCGTCTCATGATAGAGCTGCCAAATGATGGGGTCCAAACTTGGTCACGCAAGAATTGAAATAAGTAGGCACCCATATATCACCCAGTGGTCCATCTCTAGAGAATTCGTATAGGGGTACTTTGAAATGTAAGAAATGGCAACGAGGGGCTAGAAATGGAATTCCATGACGAGGAAGATGGGATCAGAAGTTGTTTGGATGTCTGGACTTCAATGGGTTCGGGTGGGAAGACACCAAGTTTCCTCCGATAGAAGCCCCAGAAAAGATTGAGCCAGTTTCTCTCGTTTTCTGAAAAAGATATCGAAAAGTTGTAAATTGAAAAATGTTCACTTAAATGAGAAAAATATTTTATGCGTTAAAAATTTCAAAACTCTCTTACATGAAACGAGAAAAATAGGCTCAAAGTTGACAGGTTCATTAAAAAATACAGATTAAATGACTAGGCACAGTAACAAATGAGATAGTGATTTGTTATATTCTCTTCCATAGGTCCGAATTATTCTATCAAAATAATAAGATGAATACTTTTGAAAAGAAAACTAATCCGAATATAAAATCTCAGAAATTTTCAAAATCAGTATTTTCGAATTTTGGAATACTTAAACCTAAAATCTAGACCTAAACATCCAGTGATTCTGAAGATCTTCTGAACTTAGGAACTCTTTGAATTCTATAATTAAAAAATCTATTTCCTAGTGTTCGATGAACCTCAAAATTTAAATCCGTACAATCTTTGTCATTCTGGATTTACGATGTTCGATAAATTTCAATTTCGATTCAAAACACCCAGTCAAAAGTTCTTTTTTTCTCTTTTCACTTCAAGAACCCAAAAAAAATATACCACACATTTCCTTTTTTATTATGTCTGGCTTATGATATACAACAAAAGAATGGCCTCTCAGAATATTCTATTGTGTGGATCAAAAATGTGTAGTGGTGATGGTGATGGTGGATTTCAAAAAAAGTAAGTTCTGAGAAACTGAAGTTTTGGTAAATATAGTGATATCTGATATTTCAGAGATTTCTAGACTACTGTTCGGGGAAAATTTTCGAAAAATAGGGGTCAAGTTTCGGCTTTTAAGAGCTTCTTGTTTTTGAATTCTTCGCTCCTAAGTTTTCGTTTCCGCCACCGAAATTAAAAACATTCGCATCTTTTTTGGCTCTCAAACTTTCGAACCCTACCTAAAATAGAGTTTGTGGGTTCCTTTTTAGACCCTCTACATTTTCTCTCTCTCTCCAATTTTTGGTTTTTAATCCTTTTAAATCTATAGAACTTTAAAGGGCAATTTTTCGGGGTGTTAGGGTGAAAAGAATGAAACAAAAAGTGGGAACAACGCCAAACAACTGCTCAGCCTCAAAATTTGAAACTGGTGTCACCTCTCTACGGACAAATCAATCAAAGGAAATAGAAGACAATATTGAACCTTCACCTTTTTTGTGGGATCAGAGTTCAAATGGAAAGCCAAACTACAAGATTTTTCAAACTTTGAAAATTGAGAATTTTTAGGATTTTTGAAGAAAACCAAACTACAAACTCAGCAGACAGAGATAAATTATTCAAGCTAATTCTGGAAATATTTTCAGAATCTCAGATGGTCCATTGTTTTCAAGAAAATTTATTTCCTTGAATTTTTTATTTAGTTTGGTCAATAATCCAGTCAATGATCAATTTTGGAAATTTTAAGAGAGTCAACAAGAAGTTTTGTAGTTTTCGTAGAAATTGAAAAATGACTCCTGATAGAGACTCTAGTAATTGTATTTTTGGAAAGACAGAAATCAGTTTGATTTTGTTTTTGAGAAATTTAAATCTCTTAAACTACAGTATACTGATTCTTGGAATTAGACTCTAAGACAAGATTTGCAGACCTCATATTCGCTTAAATACCCCAAAATTAACAGGATTAGAAGCATTGATGGGATTAGAAGGGTCAGAGATTTTCTGTATGCAACATGAGGATATAAGGGGGACCGGGAGCCGGATATTAGGTAGAAGTTCTCGGAATGGAAACTTTGGTCCAAAACCAAACGAATTAATGTATAATTTGATTATAGAAATTGTAATGGATCTAGGATGAAAACTAGAAAATGACGGAGTTTAAGAATTACTATTGGGGTAACGTTCTGCACAAAAACCGGCAGTCCTGGGTTTTCCTACAAGATATTATATTTTGATTCTCTAAAAATAAAGTCTTAATTTTTTGATTACCTCACTATTTCAGTATTTTTGAAAACCAAAACACACGGTAGAGGTTCATTTTCTATAGTTTGGATCTGGTTTTTTTGAACGAATGTGTAATCAGTAAAAATTACGTTAAATTCCTTAAAGGTGGGGGGACAGGAGATTTTACGGGGGATTTTCGGGGCCAGAGTATGCATTCTACCGTGACGGTGTACAACGCTTAATGTCACTCTGCGTACAGCTGTCGTCCTCGCCTTTATGTATGCAATCCGACGGCCGCTTTCTCTTTGCCCGTGTAGCTCAGTCGGTAGCGGCGCCGCACCCTCCATTCTCGCCCTCACAAGTTCAACTCCTCGAGGGGCGTATGTAAACGGAATTTCGAGAAAATAATTTTTTTCATGTCCCCCCACCTTTAATAGAGTTGTACCAAAAAAAAAACCGGAAATTGTAAGAAAGTCTTTAACTTCCAAGATTTTTAAGATTTTAAAATTTCCAATAAGTTGGAGATCTCAATTTCCTGATACCGTAAAACCTGTATTAGAAGAAGGGGCGGGCCTTCTATTTTTTTCAAGGTACCTTCGGAGGACCCTTCTATTAGAGGTACCCTTCTTTTTTTTCGGGCCATTTTTTCTAAAATTTTTCTAAATTTTTTCTTTTTTCTCCAAGAACCTCTCGGATGACCCTTCTATTAGAGGGGCCCTTCCAATACAGGTTTTACAGGTTTTACGGTATTTTAAAAACATCGACATTGGTTACTCTTTTCGTTTTTTGACGGATGGTAAACAAAATTTTCAGCCTTCTAACCGAAACAAAACATAAACATACTTTTCAGAAAATTTAAAAACGTTTTGCATGTATGTCAAATCAGAAAAAATGATATTGTTTTACTACTGAAATCACTTTCCCTCTCAATCAGATGACGTCGTACCCATGGTTACGTCAATCTACACGAAACCCATAAAAATAATTTTCTTTTTTTTCAATCACATGAACAAATAGGGTGTTTAGATATTACCTTCTACTATACACCCACTGGAGAAATTTTTCGATGCAATTTCCGGGGGACGCTCTAAAAATATATATTTTCGGTCCCATTCAAAGTTCCAAAAATCAACAATAGCAGGAGGAGACAGCAACGACGACGTCAAAGGAATTCAGAAGGATTCAGAAAATAAAAAGTTAGAAAAAAAGTTTTCAAATAAAAATAACAAAAATTTTGGAAACTTAACTATTATTGGTTCTCTAGGGGAAGAACGAAATATTCCTCAAAGTATGTTTCGTTTTTCTTTTTTTTTGGATTTCAATGTGAAAATTTTGGCAAAAAAGAAACAGAGAAAGTGGTCCCGAGATGCCTGCTATACTGAGAAGAACAACTTTTCCATTGACAAAATTCATGAATTTCCAAAGAACGTTTCGTTTTTTTTTCTCTTCTGGAGATCAATTTGGTGACGATAGGGATAGAAAGAAAAAGGAGAACCTATTGAGCCTAAAACGAAAAAAAAGAATAGTGGGCGGAGTTTTGAAAAAGCAAAAAATCAAATGGGAGGAGAATATGGAAACAATGAGATGGACTAGTAAGAAAAAAGTCGGAAAAGTAGCGAGTGGAACAATTTTATTGAGTTCTTTATGACCTTGGGAAGTGGAAGACAAGTATTATGATGATGATGGAATGATAGAAGACGTGAGTATTCAGAATTTCTCTTCTGGAGAAGGATAGAGAAGAATAGAGGGACCAAGTGATGGGATGAATCATTCTAGAAGAAATGAATTTTCGAGTGTTCCGGAAGCAGTGCGTAACTAAAAGGTCAATTCCAGAATTTCACATTCTGAATACTGAAAAAAAAATTGAGCACGATGTAAGGGGTTTTTGTCACGATTTTTGAAAATCCCTGCATTCTAAATTTCTTTGAAATCCGAAAAACATGATGTATTTAGAAGAATTTTTGAACCCGAAGTTTTAGAAAAAAACGCTCTTGAAAGAATTAAGAGTTAAAAAAAAGCAAGCTAATGTGTCATATTTGTTATTTTGAAAGTTAGGATTTCGTTAAAAAACAAAAAAAATACGATTTTCGAAATATCTGAGCAGATAGATCAATCTTAGATAATCGGTTTCGCATTTGCAAATCGAAATCAACAAGAAAAAACTAATTTTTTTTTAAATTTTGACTTCCCGGGGGTGAGCTACAGTAACCCAGAAGACTCGCAAACTAGAAACTTTGGCCAAAACTGATAATAAACTCTATTCAAGAAAAATCTGAAAGCTAGAATCTAAAAAAGGATGATGATAAGCATAAACGGAGGATTATGCCTTTTTTAGGTGGCGAAAGCACACTTAAATATTTACAAAACGTGAGGAATTGAATTGGACTGAAATTGATAAAGCATGAATTCAGGAAATTAGGTCTGTTGATAAAGAATAGTGAAAATCTGAAAAAAGGGAAATTCTGTTAAAATGAAAGAGTTCTATTGTGAATACTCCGATTCCCCATAGGTGCAGTCTGAGCTCAATTGTCTCGGTTCTTTCAAAAGATATCAAAAAAATGTCAACTGATAAATTGTTTATCATAATATCACCAATATTTTATCAGTTGATAAAATTTTGATATCTTTTAATGTAACCGAGATAATTGAGCTCAAAGTGCACGTATTTGGTTGGTTCTATCCGAGGACTTACTGCTAGGGTACTTTCGTAGTAAGCATCTTTTGGCGGCGGTTAGCTGAGCTTGAAAGGATAATGCAGACCAAAATATGATTTCAAAGTCATGAGCCGAATTTCAAGCTACGAAAAAGTTCAATATAAAAATTGGAACACGACCAACACACAAACTTGTTTTCCCAACCCGAAAAAGTTTTCTTTATGAACATCATCGAGAGACAGAAATAGATGTTCAGGTCCAGAATTCCCGTGCTCAATTGTTGTATATGTCTGCTCCTGGTGCCCCCCATGGAGTTGGAGTAAGAAAAATGAAACGCTTCTTGCAAAATAATTTTCCTACGGTACTCGGAAATTCTGAATTGGAGAGGAAGCGTGTTTGCGATTCTTGGAAGATATTCTTTTTTTCGAAAATTTAATCGTGTTAATGTGTGTTACACCACAGAGTCACACATTCATGGACATTGCCTACGTAGAGTTTACTATATATGGAGAGAGCAGAGGTTGTTTGGGTATATACATCTGGATTGGAACGTGCAGTTTGAGGAAATCGGGAAGTGGATGGAAGAATGTTTGGGAGAGAGCTCAGAGAATCAAACCAATTCCTGGTAAAAAGATCGAAGGTTCAAAATAACAAGAGTGGAATTTTGGGACCGAAACAGAGATCAAAACATGAATGGGTATCATGGGGAAGAGGGAAGATCAATCTTTAAATTTGGTTGAATTTTCAAATTGCTGAATCTCACAATTTTGAAATTTCCAAATCCCATCTGTCTTTCCCTACTCATTTTCGATAGAAAAATACAAAAAAATCAATTAACTTTAATAAACTCATAGAATATAAATGAGTCGAATTATAAGGAGCGACATAAAAGCTAAAATGGAAAAAAAATTATGTATTCTTTCAGATTTCAATTCAAAACAGTACATTTATCATAAACCCTTCCTTTAATCGCTCCTTCCTTGTCGTTGCTGGTCCTCCAGCGATGTTCGGCGTGCTAACGCCGTGCGGTGTAGTGTATCATCGTGTGGGTCCTCGTCATCACTCGAAGACCACCAGGGAAAATCCCCAGATGGTCCCACAACCTAATAAGTTATCCAGTCGGTTACTTAGACGCTGTATAGAAGACGTGTAAGAACATAGGGTCATCTGGAGATAGAGGTACCTGTGAAAGAAAATACGAGCCTTGGCTCATAACTTTAAGTTTACTGTATCCCGAATCTTTGAAACCGAGAACCCAAATATCTGAAGCTTCTAGATGTTTTGTGTTCTACATTTTTTTATACTGCTACCAGCCTTTTTTTTTATATAAGGAAGATTTTCAAATGGAGTATAGTAATCTAATTTAGATAAACGATAACACTCGACAATTCCAGATAACGAATTCCCTTCTGAAAAAAAAAGAAATGTCAGGCGCCCAGACTGTCTACTTTCAGTTCACGTGACTCTGTCATGTGGTTCAAGTACACCAGGTCATCAAACTAACTACTGATTACACATGCTGAACTTTTTTAGGCCTTCTCAGGGATTCGACGTTGCTTAATTCTGAAAAATGAACATAGGTGTCACAGAAGAGTCCGACATAACTAATTTGGTTGAGTGACGCTTTCGTAGCTTTCTTTACTTTTCCCTAGAGCCTTGAAATACAAAAAGCCACTTTTGTCTAGTTCACTTTCTCTTTCTTTTCTTCTCTTTTTTTTGTCTGATTTATTTATAATTCAGAGTCTCATGAATTCCTAAATGACGATTAAGATGATGATGATGTGGGAAATCGGAATGAAATGAAAATGAAAAGAAGAAAGAGAAGCCGCCCTTTGATTGTGGATAACGGAAACATCCATCAACCATCAAATCGTCTCTATCTATCTTTCTATTTTCCTATACTAATTACCTTTTCTTATCTCTTTTATCATAATCGCATTTCAATTTCATTTGAAACATGGGCGGCCTCTACTTTCTCTGTCCCTTTTGCAGAGATTCGTGAACATCAGTTCAGTATTCTTCTTTTGAAGTTGAAAAACCACTCCTTTTGGGTGTGATTTTTTGAGATGGTGAAGTTTTTTCTAGAGAGGGTACTGTAGTTTTATGAACGACAAAAATAGTGTTCAAGGGGAGAATCATACCTAGTATCCTTATTGAATATTGAAACCTTCCATACTTACCATATTTTCTCCAATAGAAGATTACCATATACATGCACTTTGAGCTCAATTATCTCTGCTCCTATAAAAGATATCAATATTTTGTCAACGAACAAAATATTGGCGAGATTATAATGAACATTTTGTTAGTTGACGTCTTTTTGATATCTTTCACAGGAAAGGAGATTTATGGGATCAAAGTTGATGTATTGATACCTTTTCCAAGAACCGAGAAAAATTGGCTCCAAGTCTGAAATATTTTTTCCGTTTTTTATTTTTTCTTTTACTCCCAACTACGAAAATATACAAAAACACACCCACTTATTTTTTCCTCCATTAATTATATCCGGGGTATATAAATGTACACCTTCCTTGTCTTGTGTTCTGAGGAAGGGCTGAGGAACACCTGCATAGGCAGAGATGAAATTACATCTGCCCAACCAACTGTCGTTTTGTTGATTTTTTTTCCAATAATTTCTTTGAGAGAAGTTGTATAGTTCATATTGTTTTGAACTTGTTAGAAGTTGTTATTAGCAATGTTCCTAGTGGGAATACAGTTACAAAATTAAATTATCGAATTAGTAAGGAAAAGTGAAAAGGCATAGAAAAGGAGAGATGGTTTGTAATCAATAGTTTGAATAGTTTCAGTGTTTATTATTATGTTAATAGTTTCAGTGTTTATTATTATGTTTTTCTTTAAAATGTATTCCGATTCTTTGAAATTCAAACCTAAATTTTTTAAAGAGTTTAACCATTCCTATGACTTTAACTCAACTATTACCTTGCCGTAAATACTCTCTCACAGAAGCCCACCTTACATTTGTACTTTGAGCTCAATTATCTCGGTTGCCATGAAATATATATAAAATTGGTAAGTCAATAAAATATTGATGATACTATGATAAATATTTTATCAGTTGACAACTTTTTGATACCTCTCATAGGAACTGAGATAATTAATCTCAAAGTGCTCGTGTCTTCTAATAGAGCATTTGCGGTGGTTCTCAATAAAAATACAGAACTAACAAAATAGTTGGATTGATTGGGAAAAATGCATTATTTTGCGAAATTTTAATACCCCATATTGTTACAGAAGAATTAGGGTCCAAGTTACTTGGTTTGGGTTGGATTAATTCAAATTGGTTTTTTTCTTGAAAATCTTTTCATACTTTCCATATTCATACTAGAAACCTTAGTTCTGTGTCCCATTTTCATATTCAAGCCTTCTCATTCGAAACGCTTCCCGCTATTATCCTTCTTCCACCACTCTATTATCCTTGTCTGCTCATGTGTCTGTGAATTTGTGCGTCGTGGTGTTTACGTACTCCCCCTGCCTTCCTCTTCCCCGTACCAATCGCTTCATCTCCGTCTAGTACGAATGGTTGTTTGCAGGGAGTCACACATACTTCATTCTCTATAAAAAACAAATCAAAGGAAATAAACAAACACATATTCTATTTTTTCTAAAAAATTCAAGACATGAGCACCAACGATAACATTCCGGAGCCAGAGAATCCAAAGGAGGTCCGAGAACTTGATGTGAGTTTTGAAAAATAATTGATTTTTGGCTAAAAACTAGAATTTTAAAAACTTCAGAAGGAACTGGACGCCTTGTCAGTTTCATGCTTTTGTGATCAACCTCCTCATGTACCGAGTAGACTTTTTGATAGTGAGTTTTAAATAAAATTGTTAATTAAAACTTTGAGAAAAAAGTTAAGGTCCCACAAAAGTCAGCCCACCTCGGATGATTGATAATGGAGCAGCTGATATGCCTCAATTTGATTTTCAAGCCTATACACAACCAAGAACCACACGAACAGAAGGAATCCTCCGGCTGGAAATACCAAACTTTGCCAGTTTGAAATCAAAAATTAGTACCCCTTTCCAATATATTGGAAGTTTGCCCTGGTGAGTTTCTTTTTCGTTTAGGATGTGTACCTAAAAAGTTTTAAAAATTAAATGAAAACATTTTGAGGGATAATCTACAAACAAAAACCAGATTTTGTTATTATACACAGTTCACCCATTTATTTTTTAGTTGAGGTGTCTGTCAATCAAAAGTTATTAAATTCGCACAGTGAATAGTTTTTTTTGGTGAACAGATTTGGAACTTGAGGAAAACTGCGGGTACAAAAAATTCAATTTTTGCATTGAGCTGAAAAAATTCAATTTTTGGAATCGAGCTAGAAAAAGTGAATTTATCGTTTGAAACCGAACAAAAAAATGTTCACGAAACTTTCTGAATAGTGACGAATCCACTAAAAATTTAGTTGTTTTCCTGAAACTCTGATTCAAGGTAAATTTTTAATCTTGAAGAATACAAGCTTTCTGAATATTCATTCTTTTTTGGACTTGTAGATTTTCATAAACGAATACTTTGGATTTATCTAATAGAAAATTAGCTTACCGTGAAACCTGTAAAAGAAGACCCCCTAATTTCAACTTTGAGCCAATTTATCTAGGTACATATCAAAACGTTGTTAACTGACAAACAGTTTATCATATTATCAGTGATATTTTGTCACTTTACTACTTTTTGATATCTTTCACAGAACCCAAGATAACTGAGCTCAAACTGGATAGAATGAGGACCTTCTATTACAGGTTTTACGGTACTTTCTTTGATGGAATGCAATGCATTGGACTTTTTGATACGTCAAAACCTTAATCCCATAATATTCGGTGAAAAAAATGAATAGAAAAAAAGGACTGAAACAACAGACTTCAACTGAATTCTTATTCCAGGAGGCTCGCCGCAAAAACCGAAAAATCGAAACGAACCTCCGACGCCAAATTCTTCTCTGTGTACATCGACTGTAATCCAGATTCTGAATCCACTCTCTGGTCGTGTGATGCCGTTGTGGAGTTCCGTCTAGTCTCTCGTAATCGAGCCATTCCTGCATTCTCTCGTCAATTCACAAACAAATTCAACTATAATTCGAATAATTGGGGTTTTCCCTCTTTCATGGCCTGGGAGGAGGTGAATAATGCGAATTTCGTGCGGAACGAGTCGGTGACTGTCACCGCACGCGTTGTTGTACAAAAAGTGTTGGGTGTCAGGAACACACCAAAATATGATTTCAGTCAAATGCAGATGAATGTTTGTGATATGACACTGATTATCAATAAGCAAAAGTTGTTTGTCAATAAGGCGGTGGGTCAGAATTCAAATTTCCATATATAACTCGTGAAAATTTCCAGTACCTTGCTCTCTACTCACCTGTCTTCTATGCAATGTTCTTCTCCAATTTCCAAGAACGAGAGAAGACTCAAATCGAACTAGAAGACGTCGTTCTCGAGGAATTTCGAGAACTTTTAAATATCATCTATCCGTGTCACAAACCAGTGACAGCTGACAACGTTGAATATCTTCTGGAGTTAGGAGATAAATATGAGATACAGTATGTCATGGATGAGTGCGAGCGGTTTTTGATGGGCAATGAGGATATTGAGGCAATTGTGAAGTTTATGTGGGCGGATCAGTATTTGTTGGCAAAGTTACAGGTCAGTTTGAAACATCAGAATACGAAAATCGAATCATAACTAAATTATTACGTATTCCAGGATAGCTGTCTACGAAACATCACAAGTGTCGCTCAAGTAAAAGACATCCGTACCAAAAAGAATTCAAGAATATTAGCGATACCACCAAGGCAGCGCTTCTGGATAAGATTCTCAAAATCATAAACTGAACATTTTGCATATTTGAAACCCTTGGCTTTTTTCTATCTAGCATGCATCTCATCACATTTTATTTGGATAAATTGTTTTTTTTTTCAATTTTCTGTTTCAGGTTCCTGGGAAGGATTTTTGGGCTCGTCGTGGAATGAAACTCTGCTTTGAACTATTCTTCAAAGATTATTTTTTTCAAAAATTATCTGGAGATTCCTTATGAACAATTCCAATAATCAGAAGCAACGTCAAAAAAACTTTTTGAATTACAGAATATATTTTAATTTTTATAGTCAGGGACTATGGTGAAAACTACAAAACCACAACATGAAATTCCGTTTTTATTTGAATATCAAGTTTCATGATCTTCGCTTTTTGAAGTCCAGGTGTTTTATTGTTGTTCAGCCATCACTCAAACAATTTTACTCATAGTACATGTTTCCAGTTTTCTTTTTACTATTTCCAATCAACATCGTCCTGTGTTATTATGAAAACGCTTCATATTACGGTAAAATTCTTTTTAAAGTGGATCAAAATCAGAAAACTGTTTCAGTTCCGGAATGGAGCAGCTTTTTAAACTTCCAAAAGAATGAACAAAGATTCGTTTGACGAATACGATAGTGGAATTGCACCCGTTTATTCAAAAAGTTTGTTATCAAAATATCCAGGAAAACTCGAAACTTTTCAGTCGATGTCACTAAACCAATCGGTTACAACCCAAATGCCCCAAAACGGTATCTTTACTATTAACAATCACCAAATTCTGTCTGTGTGTCCGTTTGTTCCCGGTTCCACGACCCTAGCGAAGTCCCCAGTAGACCGAAAATTTCCAAGTTTTCACAGATGATCCGAAATAGCAGCGAGATGATGCCCGTCTATTTTATGTTTCGAAATTTTGAGTTTGACGCCTTCTGGAGACGTTCTTCTATTTCTACAGTGCAAATCTTTCGAAGTAATATTTACGTCATTCCCGCCCAACCCCCTCTTTTTTTCTTATCCACACTATATCTGACAAAAAGGTGATTTTGTGGAAATAATTAATTAGTCTTAGTTTTGAAAGAAGAGAGAAACAAAAAGTTCAGTAAACTTTAAAATTCTGACTTTCTGAATCCCCTAACTTCTCAAAAACTGAATTTCGGAGATTCTGATTCACGAAATTTGATTATTTTTTTAGAAAATGCGAAATTTCTAACCATTCCTATGCTTCAAACATTTTGGTTTCACTCTGAAATTCTAAAATTCTAATTCAGAAATTCGGAAAATTGGAAAAACGGGAACTCGAAAATACCGAGATTTGAAACTTCGGGAATCTTAAAGTTTGAAAATCAGAGAATTCAAATGTCCAATGTTTCGGATATCCAGAAGTATAAAAATTCAGATATTCGGAAGATTACGAAATTAAAAAATTTGAAAGTTAGAACACTCGAAATTTTGAAAATCCAAAATCTCGAAAGCAAAAAACCAGAAAAACCAAAAACTTAAAAGTTCAGAATATCAGAAAGCCCAAGTTCGAAATTTAGAAAATTCGAAAATTCATAAACTTTGTGAATCAAAAAACTCAGAAATGTGTTTTAGAGAAAATTCTGAAAATCTTTTCGTGTTAAAATTTTGGGAATTTGTGAAGTAGAATCTCAGAAAGTCGGAAATACGGAAACTCGAAAATACAAAATTTCAGAAATTATGAGTTCTGAAATGAAGTATTTTGATAGAAAAATCTGTGAGCTCTAGAATCGCAGTTCCGAAATTTCAGGACTCCTGAATTTCGAAACTTCTGAAAAAATTATAAGTTGTCAAATTTCAAGATATTCGGAAATTCAGAAAAATTATTAGTTCTAAAAATTTGGAAATTTTGAACAGTTCGTGTCTCAACTAATGTAAGACACATTTCTGATCTACATTTCTGATTTATCTGTCCAAGCCCAAACTCAATCGGTTAAGGGTGTTGTAAGCGGGAGCCAGAAGGTTTAGCCCCGAAGGCGCATAAGCAGACTGTCACCACGGCCTCGCGGATGGAAACCTAGACTTAAAAATTGGAAAGCGCGCCAAGTTTGGAGGCGTAGCGCGGTCGCGTCGCGGCTTTTCGGTGAGTAGCGACTCAACAACGTTTAACTTCACGTTTTTTCAAAACACGTTTCAAAATTATCGAATCTGGCACGCAGTCAACTTCTGTGTGCGACGAAGCGCGCGTTTTTCAGGTTCCCAACCGCGATGGCGTGTTCCAGTTTATGAAAGTTGACAACACAATCAACTAAAACTTCGTCTTCTGATTCTCTCCGATTCGGAGATTCAAACGTTTTTAGTGAAGCCAGGAGATTGTAGCCGCCGACAGGCGGCGGAAATCGACTGGTTGTATTACATTTACATGATTGTGTTCCCTTCGTTTATAATCAATGCACATTCCATTGTTGGAGTTTTCATGAAGGACACAGACAAAATGTCAAAGGTAGAAATTTCGAAGAGTTCTTGTAGAACCTGATTTATTCTAGCTCAACGTTGGTCTCACCAATATTATGACGATGACCTTCATTTTGGGTGTGATGGCTGATAAAATTCCTAGAACCGGATCGATCCCATTGCTTGGAATCTACATAATCATTAATCTATTGATTATGGTAATTGCTGTGGGAAATATTGTCTTAATTGGAAAACTAAGAAAATGTGCAATACCTAAATTGACAGGCAGGAAAACCAAGTTGCGGTGGGTGAAACCTTCTAGAAACATTCAAATTTTATTTCAGAAGAAAACTAGAATGGTGTGTGGGTGATCCTCAGGAAACAATATGTATGGTGGTTCTGTCAATAGCGAATGCAGTAAATTTCATTGTGATCATTATTTTCTGGATAAAAGACTCTTCATAAAATTTCGTCATAAACAGCAAGAGACAGAATCAAACATGAACTTTCTGTCTTTTTTTTTCAAAGCAAATGAAAATATCAAATTTCGTCCCGTTCTCTGCTTTCTCATGCTTATACGTACTTATGTATAACCTCAAAATATACTCTATTTGACTTTATATAATGCATTCTGTTCTCATTTTTCTGATCTCGTTTCTTGTAAATATTACTACATGCTTCTATGAAAACTCATCGCATTATGGTACGCTTTGAAAACTCAAAAGTCATTTTGTGAGGAAGATAATTTCAGTGCCAGAATGGAACAAGTTTCTTGATCAACAACAAAAACTAGTCAGCGATTTGTTCGAAAAGTATGATAGTAGTATTTCACCAGTATACTCCAAAAGTAAGATATCCAGAGCTTTTCTTCAGACATGGAAATCTAAAAAATTTGAGTTGATATCAATAAACCCATTGGATACAACCCAATTGCTCCGAAACGGTACAACTACACTATTTTTATGTACAATATAAAGTTGGTAGAGGTTCTCGAGCCAGAGGAAAAGGTTTCAGTGGTCATGGAAATGGCTGAGGTGAGGAATATTGCGATTCTAACTATCCACATCGTTTTCAGCACTGGTATGATCCTCGTCTTGCCTGGAATCCATCACTCTACGATGACATTGAGATGCTTCATATGAGACAGGAGAAAGTGTGGAGTCCAACTATAAATATGTTTAGAATGTGATATGCCTTTTTTGAAATCGAAATTTCCAGAATCGTTTTTTTTCAGAAACGACATTGCTGATTTTCGTGACCAAGATTTTCGGATGGTGTCTCTAGACAATACTGGCCACATCTACTCCTCTTTATCTCTTCGAGTATCCGTAAATTGTCCATTGGACGTCAGAAAGTTCCCATTCGATTCACAAACTTGTACCATTCAATTTTCAATGCCCCTATTTTTTATTCAGTATGTCGAGATGTTCAGCCAGATTTATGATGGGATTTTGAACAAAACCGTTTGGAAGAGAATGGTTTTTAATTAAACTGGCTTGGATAGAAAATATCAATTGACTTTAGGGAAACTCTGAATGGGACCTAGTAAATTTAACAAATCGAGTCGAAATATTGAGCTATAACGACGGAATTGGAGATATGCAATTGGCAACTTTCGAGATCAAAATTCAGAGGAATCCATTGTATTACATTTATATGATTGTTTTTCCTTCTTTTGTGATCAATGCATTGTCGATTGTTGGAGTTTTCATGAAGAGGACAGATAAGATGTCAAAGGTGAGCAGTTTTTTACTTGAAAATTGAAAATCAATGATTCCAGCTCAACGTTGGTCTCACCAACATTATGACGATGACCTTCATCTTGGGTGTGATGGCTGATAAAATTCCTAGAACCGGATCGATCCCATTGCTTGGAATCTACATAATCATTAATCTGTTCATAATGATAGTCGCTGTTGGGATTACTGTACTTATGGGTAGCATCCGGAAGTGTGCGATTCCCCGATTGAGAATGAAGAAGACGGAGCTGCGGTAAGGGAAATTCTAGGGAATACGAAAAATAAGAATATCTTGCAGTCAATGGATCGAGTGGGTTTTGGGAGACCCCATGGAAACAATATGTATGACTGTGCTGGGAACAATCAACGCATTGAATTTCTTCGTGGTGATTGTTTTCTGGATAAGGGATTCATGATTTAAAAATTTTGTTTGCAAAAATGAAGATTTCTTTTCACATTAGTTTTAATGAACTCGCATGGTTTTCATAAAAAGGATGCACTCAAACGTACTTGGGCAGGTCCCGGAAACCCGAAAATATTGCCAAATACGGGGTTTTATTTCATGAAAAACATCCTCAAGTAAAGAAGTATCAAGGGATGCATTACAAGTTTATGGCTACCGTAACCTTCAATATCTAATTTTTCTTCCCTACAGTACCTCAAAACTCCACATCCAACTCCAGATTCATTGCTATTTTCCCATAAGAGACAAACCAAAAGTACCATTTCATCCATTGTAAATCGGTCATCATTTTCTCACTCAAAAGACTCTATTCAGTTATACAGTGCCCATAAACACAGCCTCATTGCACATAATCACATTCCTCCTTCACCTCATCACAATGTTCAGAGACTATGCGACGCTCTTCTTCCCAGAAGTACCAATTCAGAAACCAGGTGTGCTGCGGGACCCACCGTTCGGTCCGCCCCCAACAGCCCACCCTACCGTCTTCTTTCATTTACTAATCATTCCATTCATAATGTATCCCATCGCTCTTCCCCCCATCAATTGCAACAGTATGTTGAAATTCTCTTGTACGAAAGTAGTGATAAACGACTCTGTCGGATCAACATACACTCTTCGTGTACAGAATTCATCGTCCACGTTCTGCTCTTTGATTATTAAGTCAAGTCACCCACATTTGTTCAGAGTTTGTGATCAGAGTAAGTTGTTTCTGAAAGAGTGAAAGGAAAAACTTCGAATATGAATTTTCAGGTCTTCTATGCCAACATCTCGATCCTCAAGAAGAGTTCGACATCGTTATTGAAATGATAAAAAACTCAATAAATCTATACGAGGACTACTTTGTCTGCATTGGTACTGGCAACGACGTTACTACGATCCCTGTGGAGTTCAAGACAGTCGATGAAAGGTAATATCATTAGTTCAGGCTCCGCACGCGCATTTGGCATGAAATCTGGCTCATTTTGTATTTCGACACTGTAGTTTTATACACATCTTTACTTCACATAGTGTTTGCATAGGATCTTGAATTTTATCCTGGAAAATTCCATGAGCTATTCAAATTTTCGGACTAATTGTGTGAGAGAGAGAGAGAGTTTGACGAGTGTTGGGAAAAAAACTATTAGAACTAAATAGAAAATAACTTAACATACCGTTTTTCTCTAACTTTTTTCAACATCCTTCTCGGGCAGTTATCAAAAACTGAAGTCCTCAGAACATTAAAAAAAAAAGAAAGAACATGCCTGTAATAACAGAGTAGACGAATTGCACTGTAAGAACTGCACTAACTGATTTGCACGAATTTCTGTTAGAGGGTGCGCTTCTATGTTTTTAAACACGTCTTAGGGAGGGCTTCTATTAGATATGACAATTAGAGGTGGGCTGCACAAGCCCGTACATCATATGAACATCTTACTATACAGTTTCATAACAATCATTAGTTTCAGATGCGAATCACCAGACCGTCCTTCAAATGCAGCCGTCGAGTGCCAGATCTGTTTTCAACCATTCGATGAAAACGAAAGAGTTCCAAGAATTGTTAAGGAGTGTGGACACACTTTGTGTCAACGTTGTTGCCAGCATTTGATGATTCCAAACAAAAATCGATTCATAATTTGCCCAGTCGACAGAATGTCAACAGTTGTCTACGGTAAGTCTCGGCAGTTCACAGTAATTCTCGAATATTTCGTTATTTTAGAAAATGTTAACAATCTTCCAAAGAATTTCACTCTTATGCAAGTAATCAGCGAGTCGAACGTCAAAATAACAAAAACTGGTCCACCTTTCTGCATCACTCACAAAAAACAGAGACTGTTCTTCGTGTGTACGGAAGCTGGTTGCTCCTCGAAAAGAAAGTTGATGTGTGGCGAGTGTATGCTCGAGGACGGTCCCCACGGAGGTCACTCCTACATCTCATCCAAAAAGTTTTTCGGAAACAAAAAGAAGTTCGAGGAGGACCTCGATGCTACCGAGAACCTGATGTGGGAACTTATGAAGAAGCATAAGGAGTTAAAGACTAGATTGGAGAAGGTGTATTCAGAGAAACGTTTGAAAGTCACGGAGATGTACGATGAGGTTATGGGCGAGATGGAGGCAAAACAGAGAGATCTGATTGACGAGAATGACAAAACTATTTTCTTTGGGTTGTCAGAGATTGCATGCCTCACTTTTAGACTCCAAAATGATGTGTATAAATTGAGGCGATTCCGTTTATCACTCTTAGAGGTTCTGCGTCAAGATCGTATTCACAGCCATGATGTTTATACTTTGGCTCAACGGATCGAGTCTGTTCAAGCTTTCTCAGAAATATGGAATATCTTACAAGATATGCTCGTTGAGAAAGCGGAAGAGCTTCCTGACGGCCAGGTAAGGTTGATTATACGAAATTTAAAGCTCATTAAAAATTTTCAGGTTGATCAGGAAAGAAGAACTAAACTCAGATCTTGTTTAGGTCTTGTTGAGAAAATAGAAATCGTGTTCTCACGAAAGCGTGATAATCTGAATGCTGACACAGAAAAACAGAAGAAACTAGCTGAACAGTTTAGACAAATTCAAAAGGAAGCTGAGAAGCCATTGGTTCCATTGAGAATCAAAAGATCAGCTGCAATGGAATCTCTGTTAGGAGACTACAAATATGATCTCCTGGGATTGGAGGAAATCGAGTCTCTCATTGAATCTAATCTCCAGAAGCTTTTCCAAACTCGAAAATCCATCGCCAAAATCGTAGAGACTGGCTTGAACTTCCATCTAGTTCATGATGGAAAAATGGAACTTCCCGTGTTTGTGAGATTTCCAATTGGTGAGTTTTGAAGAATCAAGTTCTTACTACTTCTTTTTTACTACTTCTTTCCAGATATCAATCACTTCACGTTGGAAAGAGAACTCAATTTGGATGTTGACTTCAATCTGGTTTTCGGGAGTTCGTGAAGTTTGTATCGTTCTTTTTATCTGTTGATATTGCTTCATGAAATTCTATTACGTTTTGGTTTTTCTCTTGTTTCTTTTTTTCATTCTGATGTTCAATTGACATGTTTTTGTACTGGTTTCTTAATAATATAAACTTTTTTTTTTGAAGAAAAATCTTGTAGTTGAAAAATATTTTCAGAAAGTTAGATGGAAATTCCATGGAATCATGTCAAACATCATCAAGAAAAAAGATATATTTGATGTGCAGCTGAATAGAGATGGGAAGTTTTTGAGTTTATAAAAACATTTGAAAAAAAATTAGAAAGACTATTTTCACTTGCAAAAAACCTTTTTTGAATTATGAACCCAGAAAATTTGGATAAATCCATACTTGTAAAACTCCGGGCCGACCTGCCAAAGAACGGGCCGGATGGGGCCGGGCCTCCGAAAATTGGAAATAAAACCATGGCCCGGCCGTTACAAGTATGGATAAATCCAGAAAAAATTACCACAAATAAATTCAATTGGTTCGTTGACTATTAGGTTGGAAGGAAAGTAACTGTCCATTTTTAATTCGTAAATAATACAAAAATCAAAATTATCCAAGATTGACAGTGTCCACCGTCGTGGTCCACAACTTTCAGGTAAGTTGTGGATACCATCTCTTCAGAAGCCAGCTGGCGGCGAATCAAAGTATACTTTCAGTGTCGTTTTTATATCATCGACAGTTTAAAATTATTTTCCCTCCAGAGGACGTTGCATATCTCCGAATAACCAATCATAAAAGGGTCAAGTCTGGAGTAAATGGAATGTGGAGAGCCGTTCATTCAAAGCGGCTTAATTTTTTGGCCAAAAATCTTTGACTGCTGGTACTGATAGACATCAAGCTTTATGACATACTTTTCAGAACTTCCGTATGGAATACGTCAAATTATGTTTAAAAACTGAATTCTGATTTCCAGATTTCCGATTTCCGTCTTATTTCTGGTTGAAAAAATGACCGTAAGAATAAAAAACGAAAGACGGTATTTTACACACAGCAATGAAGTGAAAGGACTGATTCATTTCGAAAGTATTGAGAAGATTTCTGGCCAAAAAATTTTTCCTCCAAATTTTCGATAATGTTGGTCATGAAAAAACCTCGAAAATTAGAAAAATTGAAAATTCTTCAAAATTCCAGGGTAGCTTGTTATGGGTACCGGAGTCACGATACGCAGTGAAAAAAAGGGTAATTGACCGAAAAATGCAAAAACAAAAAGTTTTTAAGAGGGTGGGTTTGAACCCGCAAAACAAGATTACCAGACAAGCGCGCGCATTCCTCGGCCATCGGACCACGCTTTGCTATGGTGAATGGTGGCCGTTAATGGGGTTATTCAGGGAGTCGCCAAAAAAGGAAAAAAAACTCCGCGAAAACTCGGAGAGTGTTCCAATCTGGCTGAAACTTCGGGAAAAACTGGAGAAAACTATAGA